ATAAATACGTATCATGTTTTCGTTTAACCTAAAAACAATAATTATTAGAATAACAAGTGAGAATAAAAAATTAGGTAACAATTAGATAGGGTGTCGCAAATAACCGAAATAATGATTTTGTAATACAGCAAGAGTAAATACTTCAATATTTACTGCGTATAAAGCTCATTAAACTTAATATTGGACTCTAAATATGTATAATTATAAACTACGCAGTAATGAATTTTCTTTGATGCAGTGCGACGTGTGCCCTCACGCAGCTGTCCGATACCCGCGCTACGTCAATAGGGCTCTGACCTTTCACCTATTCATTCATAGATTTCTTACTAACTCCTACAATTATCTGTTAGGTTATCGAATATAAATGAAGATAAGCCAAGCAGAAGAATCAATTTTTAACTTTAAAGTCAAAAAGGAATAATCCGCCGTCTAATTACAACGATCGTCATCAATTAAATATGTTTAGCTATATGATATATTAAAAGAACTAAGAAAAGCCGTGTCCGTTCCAATCGAGGGGCTTACATTCATCATTCAATGCATTGGTAAATAATTTAGGATAAATTGTATCACCCTGCCTTACTTCGTGATGCATACGGGTCAGCCTCATGCTTTGAGGTCACAAATGATATATAAATATGATATTCTTTCCTTCTTTTCTTTCCATTGCAGCCACCTTTACATAGGTAGAGGTATTTTATCATGCATAGAAAAAAATAGCTTTAATTTGATATATAAATGATGAATATACGCCATGAACGTATAAACGTACCAAAATATGACCCGCTTATACCTACCTGGCTGCGAAGAGGTTGTGGCCAAGTGCGCAACGGCAGCTATCACTTTTCAAGATCTATACGTATATTTCTGTGAAGTGGAGTATAATTCATTTTAATAAGAAATGCATCGTTTTTGTTCCAAAGTCAATTATTATTTTTTAAATAAACATACGAGGGCACATTTTAATAGGCACCCCGGTCAAAACATATTGTTCCTTTTATTATTGTATATAAAAAATTGGTTTTGATTAAATACGCTATGAACGTAGCAATCTTGCAGCCGGATCTTGATCCACTATTATTCTTTTGTATGTATGTATAAATATTGACCCGAGTAATAAGTTATCACTACATTTTAGTTAAAATCAGTTCAGAACTTAATGCGTAAAATCCACACAGTTAGGCAGACAAGCAGACATATAGTAACTATATTGTTTCGAGGTCTATAATCTGTACACAATACGTTACTGTCAATGTTTTTAAATATGTACAGATTTCGCTTTGTTACTATTTTTTATTATAAGTGGGTAGGTATGTATAGATTAAAAAAAATAGAATTTTATAATTCTTGAAAACAATGAAGAATATCAACAATTTTTGATTTTTATCTTACAATATATGTACTCTATCTATTAAAAATGAAAAATAGCGTATTTTTTTTACGTCTTATAGTTGCCGAGATATTTAATTGTTTAAGCTAGCGCGTGACGACGCGGTATTATCGGCCACTGTGACGTCATTCTACAACCGTCGGCGGTCGGACTCCATAGATTATACACTTATATACTGGGTCGGACTCGGTCAGTGCGTGCTTTACTCCCGACCTGTGTGTATGAAATTTGCATCGAAAATTGATAAAAAAGTCCAATGCAAATAAATGAAAATAGATAAAAATGCACTTATCTACGATCACATTAAAGAGGAAATTAATATGAGAGGTTTTTGATCTTAGTTTAATATGTAATATTTAATAGCTGGTGTAGTCGTGTACTTCCTAATAACCTACTTTTGAAAACAATATTTTATTGCTTCAAATTTTAAAGGCTTTATACCCCTGGTACATAATGTTTACATTAGGTTTATTATGTTAATTTCTTCTTACATTACATATAAAAAATACAAAAAGTCATGATCAAAACAATGTAGGTACAATAACAGCGTATTGTTTTTAATAAATCCCACCCTATTATGATAACATGTCAAGTTCGTAGTATCAATATGACGTAAAAGGTACAATTTAAAAACACTAGCAATGAGAAATATGTACTTAAAGGGATCAAAAGATTTACGATAAAAAGTAAAATGTTCAGTAATACTTACTTTTGCATTTTTACTCTTCATATCTCGGCGACCAAGAAATTGGAGCTATTTGAAAAATAGTGGGCAAACCATTCAACCGTCTATTTCATGCAAGTTATCAGATAGTCTTTTTTCAAAACAGTCGTCCATATCGTCATAGACGAAACTACTTGCTGTGCCAGCGGTCACGGGTTCGAGTCCCGCTGGGGCCATTCATTTGTGTGATGAGCACGAATGTTTGTACTCCAGTCATGAGTGTTTAAAGTTATATACCTATGTGTATTGTGTAGTGTATCAACTATCTAGTATCCGTAACACAAGCCTCGTAGCTTACCATGGAACTAGATGGTATATGGATAGATAGATCTATAAATGTTTGTCAGTCACTATTTCACGCAGAAACGAATGAATGGATTTTAATGAAACTACAATAATATAGCTCATACATCAGAATAACACATAGGATACTTTTTATCCGGGAAAATTGTACAGTTTCTGTAGGATAGATTTGTTTTTAATAATATAGTCTATCTATCTTCAATATAATGTAAAATTACTTGTGCTGACTGATTCATCGACGCAGAGCCTGAAAAACCACAGGAGTTAAAAATTTGACATTTTTGCAGTTGATGCATTTTTAACCGACTTCCAAAAACGAGGAGGTTCTTAATTCGTCGGAATCTTTTTTTTAACCAAATTCCAAAAACGAGGAGGTTCTCAATTCGTCGGAATCTTTTTTTTAATGTATGTTCAGCGATTACTAGAAGACGTCTGAACCGATTTGGAATTTTTTTGTTTTGTTTGAAAGGGTATACTTCCCAGGTGGTCCCATATAAATTTTATCCAAATCGGTCGAGCGGTTTTAAAAAAAATCAACAATAAATATATTTTTTAAACGAATTGCTTAATCGAATATGTTATTAAAAACTTTCTTCCTACAAATTACCTACTTATTACGTTTACACTAAAAATTTAAAAATAAAAACTTTTGAACAAAAAATAAAACCGACTTCCAGGCACTAAAATGTAAAAAATAACTAAACGGGGGTTTTCATTTAGAAGAGATACCTAATCAGATATTTTCGAAGTCGGTGCCAGCGGACAATATTTTAAGAAATGAATATCTAATAAGTAAATATTATGTATTTTACGTATCAAAATATATTAGATTTCCTATGCATCGGCATTAACTGCCTCGGTGGTGTAGTGGCTAGCATGTAAAGCCGTCGGTCCTGCGCCTTAACTCTCACTGGTCGTGTCGAGCAGTCGTCCCACCGGAGTATGAGAATGACAGGAATAGTGAGTGCACCTCACAGAGTACATTGGTATAGGTGCACCTGTACCTGCGCGTACACTTGTGCAATATAATATCTCCTTCGCAGTTGGCTAGTCTCGATGAGATTGGCCGCCGTGGCCGGAATCGGTCAGGAGAACATCATCATCATACGAATGGTAACTGTATGATTATTTCTTAAAAACCGTAAATAATGAAAATGCAATCAGAAAATAAACAGTAAATGAAAAAAAAATTAGTTGCGTATACAAAACTTTTAACGATTCTTTTTATTTATAAATAATAGTATTATAAATTTATCTTTACAAATACAATGTTATCTGTAATTATCAAATATTATATGCTAAGCATCAAAGGGTATCCTTAACTTTGGCACAGAAAATCTTATTTAAAAGATAGAAATTTTTGACAGATTCCTGATTCATCAAGTTGTTTAAAATTGTTGATCGTTTATTTTTGTGTGGAATTAATTAATGGGAAAGATTTCTCGAAAGGAGAGCGTGACACGTATGGCCTATTTATATTCAGTCTGAAGTTAAGCAATTTATATTGATATCTCTTTTATACCTGTTTTTTTGCTTCTATTGTGTTCGCATCTTACCTGTGCAATGTATTGTACCTGGAATTTAGACCAGCTAAAGGAATTCCTTCTGTCCTGATTGACTGATGTATCCACACACACACAGCCTAAACCGTTGGTCGTAGAAATTTGGAGAACGTATTCCTTAAATGATGTAGGCATCCAATAAGAAAGGATTTTTCGAAATTCATTTCCTTATGTGGGTAAAGTAGGGGATTAAAGATTGTATGAAACTCTTAATGTGAAATACACAGAAAATGGTGTTTAACTGAAAAAAAATAAGAACTATATTTATTTATTTTTTTCGAAATTCATTGCATATAGGGATAAAAGGGAGTAATAAAGTTAATGAATTATTTATGATTGAAAATAGGTTATTAATGCTCTTCAATACAATTAAATAATTTCGTGTTTTAGCATTTTTCGAAATTCAATCCCATAAGGGAGTTAAAAGTTAGATGAAAGTTTGTATGAAACTCTGTAATTAAGTAATATGTAAAAAAGTACAAAAAATAAAAAAAAATATTCAGCTGTAGACGATTTAAGAGTTTTAAAATCAATTTCTTTAAAATGATGTCCACATAGCCTTAAATATAAGTTTCACCAATTTTGGTCGTCTTATTGCTTTAGCCCACAATTTCTTTAGTTTTTGTCTTTTAATGAAAATAAAAAATAAACCATCCACGCTATAGAGCTTTACAATAAACTGAGGGCCATAGTAATAGGGACATCTGGCGGGAAAAAAGGCAAAATTCGTCCCCATTCATGCCTCATGTCATGGCATAACTCAGACTGTTCAGTGTTGACGTTCTTGACTCATGTCAAATTAAATGTTTAAAATTTTATTTGTCGTCCATGGACCATGGTTTAAAATTGTAAACCTTTTATAAATAAAATATTTAATAAGTCAAAGATTTTTAAAATAAAAGATCTAATGTTCACTAACTGACAACTGATATTTATATCATAAAAACAACATCAACTCTATAAAAACATTGGCTGGACTCATAATTTCTCTCACGTTTTAATTTTTTTACAACTTAATATTATGGCTTTAGATACGGTTCCTAAAGATTTACGAGGCTTGAGAGCCTGTCTAGTGTGTTCTTTGATAAAGGTTACTTTTCTGAATTATAACTATGTAAACTAATATAAATATATTGTTATAATGAACTAACTATATTTACTTTATAACAGAATAACTATACCTTTGTCATATGATCATACATTTTCCAGACATTTGATCAGTTCGAGTATGATGGCTGCGACAATTGTGATGAATTTCTTCGTATGAAGAATAATAAAGATAATGTATATGATTGCACTAGTAATAATTTTGATGGGTATGTATTTTTCTAAACAACTACAGATAAATGATAAGGTTTGTACAAAATCAATAATTCATGTTTTTTTTTTGTTTTATTTAGAATGATAGCAGTTATGAGTCCTGAAGATAGTTGGGTTTGCAAATGGCAAAGAATTAGTAAGTAGTTTTATTTCAAAAATGAATAGTAGTGGTCCATTGATAGGTTGACAATGTAATGATTAATTATTTCTTATTCTATCCATTACCATTTTTATAAATAACTAGTAACTTACCCTCGCTTCGCTTCGGTTTGTCTCTAGGTACATTTTAATAGTTAGTATGAAATAGATAGAGCTGTATATTATATCATATATAGCCTGTAGCCTTCCTCAATAAACAGGCTATCTAGTGCAAAATGGATCTTTGAAATTAGATTTGTAGTTCCCGAGATTAGCACATTCAAACAAGCTCTGCCTCTTTATAACATTAATATAGATTAGCATATATTAAAAATATACATGTATATGCTTACTCCATATTTATTATTGAAAAAACCACATCTAAACTGCTATGAATATGTTTTTGCCTGAATTTAATATTTAGCAATAAATTAATAATGTAATTGACTTTGTTATATATTATACTAACAAAAATGTCATGAAGCAATATAATGTAAAAATCATTTTAAATAATTTCCTAATTTGTTACAGGTAGATTTTGTAAAGGAGTGTATGCTATATCAGTATCTGGACGCTTGCCAGCAGGAGTTATAAGAGAAATGAAGAGCCGTGGTATAGCTTACAGACCAAGGGATACTAGCCAAAGATAAAGAAATACATATTAATAACACCCATTAAATTTAGTTTTTTTTGAAGGATTATCTTATACCTGTATAATCTACAGCTGTTTTGTAAATGTTAGATATAAAAATATTTACATAATTTATTAGTTTGATCTTCTATCTTATATTACACATAAAAATCTCACCATCTCATATGAATGATTATTTTTTTCTACAAATTTGTGTTGACCAACTGAAATAAAATTGTTCTAATCTTGGGCTATCTATCTCATAAATATTTTTTTTCACATTTACGAATTTAGTTTCCCCACGCACTTAAATATTGTAATAGTTTTGCTTATTGTAGAAAATTATCAGTATAAATAAAATAAAAGTAACAAATAATGACAATTATTTATTTCATGCAATTATTATTTATTGTTTGTTTGTACTAATAAAATTAAAATGCAACATACATCAAATGCACTTTTAATAATATAATTTAATTAAACTTATCTATGGCAAAGTAAAATATTTAAATAGTAGCATATTATGTTAATAAGTGCTTCATTAAATGAAATTTTGACTTTAGATAATTTTTAGTCTACATGATGCAATTATATTATGCAGTTTATTTTTATATATAATGCAGTTTATAATTAAATGTTATTTATTATGCTAATGTAACCATTTTTAATTCATTACAGAATTATAATATTTGCTGTAGAACATAATTGCATATTATGTAATAATAATTTTACTAAAGGCAATAACTTTTCTACTTAAACAACTGATTAATTAAATTAACATATTCAATCACTAATATAATCAATGTTTATTATCATCTGTTATAGCTGATTTCATATTTGAATTAGAAATGCCAACATTGAATACATTCCACATTGTAATTGGATTAAAAGCACAAAGAAGGCTGCATGTCTCTGCCTGTCAACTACTGGATTCAGGTGGAACTTTGAATTCACTATCAGTCCCCAACACATCCTTATCAATCTCTTTGAAATCAATATTCTGTTGCTTCATTGCTTTCTGAAATGAATGATTATATTACAGCAAACTTTTAATATCTTATTTATTAAAATAGGTCCTGTTAGTTATTGTAAATGTATTATTAGACTACTATTATAAATGTGTATGTGTGTTTGTTACTCCTGGATGTAATTTAGTATACATATAATCTACGACCATGAGTGAGACTGGCAAGCATCTGGAGATGCAGGGCAAGCTGCTAGTAAATATATTATATAATTTAACTTAAATATTTTTGAATTATTAGAAGAATTTACAATGTTATCAAACATTTTTATATAAAAAGCTAGATTCATTAAAAAAGAAATTTTCGAACCTAAAAATTTATTACATTCATATTAATGTCTATAGTTTTGTGAAAAATAATCATTACCATCACACCTTTGGATATAAAAATATGAACAAATTGTAGGAATGAAATAATTATGTAATAGATTAAATAAAAAATGTAAAAGGCACAATTTACTTTTACACATTCTTGATAAATCTTAAAAATTCCAGCACACATGGAGTCATCATGATCACCCTTCAAAAAACGATCCGAAAACCAGGAATTAAAACAATCGTCATATTTTTTCTTTAGTTCAGTACACTCTTCGCCTATACTATTCATTTTAATAATACACTGATGTTTAAATAATTACAGCTATATCAAGTTTCGATAATAGCGAATGAGTTGATTTAATCAGTGGTAAATTCGCAAAATCTTAAGTCAGATAGTTTAGTATTTTAATAAGCAATTGATTAGAATCTTGAAGATTGAGGTTATTATTTTATTAGAATGAATGAATTCATATGTACTCTAGTACTTATGTGAAATTTCAAATTAGAAAGGTAAAGTGGGGTTTATAATCCTAGTCAGTAGTCACCATTTATATATGTAGCAATATACTCTATGGTAGTCACTCAAAAATCGAAACGTCAAAATATTTGATAACCAAAATGTTTTCGTTACTTATTAAATAGTATATACATTATAAAAAACACCTGTTTTCCAATTACAGAGCATTCAGTATAATGCCGTACTTAGGCGCACAATGCCGAAGTGTGCTAATCTTTAATTGGAACGTGAATTAGTTTTCAAGTGCCCCAGCAGAGGGCACGGTTCAATTTTAAAGGAAAAACAATAACTATTAAGTATAATACATATCGTCGATAATATAAATTTTATAATAAACTAGCGTCTCACCCTCGCTTCTCTCGGGCCTCTCTAGCTTGCTTCCCAATAAAATTTTCTTACTCATTTTCACTCCCATATGGGATGATTTCCGGGATAAAAACTATCCTATGTCCTTCCCAAGGTCTCAAATTATCTTCTTACCAAATTTCAACCTAAATTGGTTCAGTAGATCCAGAGATTACTCCCTACAACGTCACAAACCTCAGAAACCTCTTTATAGGAAAAAATATTTTAATTTTTAAAATTTTATATCTCAAACCAATAGATGAATTCGAATGACCAAAACACATTCTTGTAGGGAATTGAATGCTCTACAAAAAATGTCCTTTATCACTTTTCCAGCATCACTGACGACCAAGTTTTTTAACTTTCTCAGAGAGCGAGATTTTAGCTGAGATCAGTTAAGGCCATTGTAAACCTTATTTTGAGTATATGTTACGTCCATAGGAATTCCTATTTGCCTTAGGGGTGGTTTTGGTTTTTGGCTAAAGCAGATTTATCAAGGTGCTTAGGGAAAATTGTGGTTTACCATTGTTCCAATCCCACTTGGATAAATCTTTTTATAGTTTATTTTTAAATACTATTTTAAATATTTTTATGGCAACCTATGCCATGTCGAAAATGACAATGACATTGTAATTTTAGGTTATGTCTTATGGTTACTGAGTTAATCTTATTGTTTTGTTTAGAAGTAGAACTTAAAAAAATAGTTGTGGTTTTAACTATATGACAAAATAAATAAAATGAGTGACATACTAAAAGACAGCCGATTTGCTAAATATCTTAATGATCCTCGTTATAGGCAGATACCTAAACATGAACGGAAAGTAAAAATAGATAAAAGATTTCAGTCTATGTTTAATGATGAAAAATTTAAAGTAAAGTACACGGTTGATAAACGAGGACGACCAATAAATGAAACATCAACAGAAAATTTACGGAAATATTATGACTTGGATGAGTCAGATGAGGATTCAGATGATGATGTTGAATCAAAGAACGAAGCTGAGTATGAAAGTGAAAAGGTTAAAACAAATACTAACGAAGAAGAAACCGCAGGTCGTTTTGTTAAAAGACTACCTAGCCTAGATGATGATGACAAAAAGAAAAGTCCTCAAGATTCAGTGAAATTTGAAAATGATAAATTAGTTCGTGGAAGTCTGGATAAAAAAGTCAAAACCAGATTATTCGATCTAGATATTGATTACGCACGTGGTGAAGGTAATTATTTATTCAAGAACTTCATACTTTTATTATATTCAACCATTCTATTGGAAAACTCCAATAGGATCTTATCAAATACGACAAAAGCTACATAGAAACCAATAAATATTTATTGGTTTCTTTATGGCTTTTGACACTTTGATTGAGATCGGTAGGTAGATGTTTGAAAATTGTTAACAAAATATCCATTGATTTTTGATCTTATTTGATACATTTTAAATACCTTATATTTTTATTAAAAAACAAAACAACAATAGTGTTTATTGTTTAAATTTAATTTTGCAAACATTATTATGTAGACAAGCTGATTAAGAGTAAAGATATAATTATAACTAATAACAAAACTTTTTTTTTTAATTAGATGTACTTTGTTTTTCTCATGTGGTTACATTTAGGTTTTTTATGGGCAAACTTTATTTGTAATAACTTACTATCTCAAAGTCATCACAGTTGCTATAATTAAATAATATAAAAGAATCAAAAGTGTAATATCCTCTAAAACACATATTATAGGTATGATAATGACTGATTCATCTAGTGATGAAGAAAGTAGTGAAGAAGATGATGATAGTGAGCTAGAACATGAATGGGGTGAATTAGATGCTGACGCTGATACCACAGATGAGTCAACAAGAAGGTGAGCATATTTTCACTTACACATCTTTTAGGATTTCTCTCTACATCATATTTCGTATATCCTATTTTTAAATTAATAACTTTGAAGCTTGCCAACTATAAAATGCAGCTAGAAATGTATTTTACATAATATTATATATAAATATAAGTATAAAGAGTCTAATAAATGAAAAAATAGTATTTAAATAGTATAACAAAAGTAAAAAAGCAAAATAAATCTAATGTAAAATCTTTTAATTTTACTATGTATGTACTAGTATAAATTATCATATTGTCTGTATTAAAATAATTCAGAATATGCTTTTTTGGTAAACTATTTTTTACTTCTTGTTTAATTTTACATAAACATCAATAACAATACAAGATATTTTATTTGAAATATTTTTTCTTGTTCTATGTTTAAGTAGTCAGAATGTTAATTCTAGTTTCATCAACCAATTGATCTATTTGATAAAAAAAACAAATGTTTTTAAAAATATATACTTATGAGTTATGATATTATATTTTTGAGTTGCATACAAAAATGGAGAATAATTTGAAATGATTGTATCCTACATACATAATACCTTTTATCTCATATTGTAGGATAGCAATCTGTAACATGGACTGGGATAACATAAAAGCAACAGATCTTATGGTCCTCCTTAACTCCTTTTTACCTCCTGGTGGTTTTATACATAATGTTACTGTAAGTACTTATTATTATTTTTTTAGGTTTTATATAATTTACGGAAGTTCTTAAGAAAAAAAGAAAATGATTATTTATTATTAAGAGTAACAATGTACGTTTTTCATAAATACATTTTAATTTGTTACAGATTTATCCATCAGAATATGGCTTAAAGAGAATGCAAGAAGAGGAAATTAAGGGCCCCATAGAGTTGACTGAAGCAAAAGCTGAAGAGTCGCTCTCAGACGATGGTGGAAACGAAGAAGGTAATAAAAGACTCCATTAAGCACACTCGGAAATTATTACTTTGAAAAAAGTTTTTGAAGAGAAACTTCTTTGCAAGCATGAGAGTAAAATTTCAAGGAGAAATCCACACGAAAAACCGTAATAGTAACCATAGTGACCGCGTGCATTAGGTTGCCATAGTAACCGTTGCTATTGTCTGAAAAATGATATTTTATATGATAATCTTTCCATTACTATCTTCAAAAATTACTATTTTTACTAATTTATTTTCAAATCTGCAAAACATTTATAACATTAAGCAATAGTATATGCTATAGATGTAAGAATCCAGCTAGATAGAAAGAGATAAAATATTATTCTCTCCTCTTTGTGTGACATTCATTTGAATCATATTTTTGTTTGAGTGTAATATTAAAAGTCTTTATTAGTTTATTAATCTTACAGATTTGAAATATAAATAACCAATGAATTTTAACTTCTAACACATTTTCATAGAAATTTGATTTTTTTAAATTATATGTAGGTTCGTCATATCACATGGAGAAACTTCGACGCTATCAATTGAATAGACTGAAGTACTACTATGCCGTAGTAGAATGTGACTCGGTGACCACTGCGGACAAGTTGTACAGTGAATGTGACGGCATGGAGTACGAGAGCAGCGCTACAAAACTAGATATGCGCTTTATCCCGGATGACGTCACTTTTGATCAAGTAATGTTCTATCTACATATTTACTACTAGCGACTCACACTCGCTTCGCTCGGGTTCGTCCCGAGGTTGCTTCTCCATACAGAGTTTCATCTCCATTTAGCCCCTATCCTGTGAGTCATGCGTCGCAGGATCGCTTAACCTCAATAAACGGGCTAGCTAATGCAAAAAGAATTTTTCAAATCGAATTAGTGTTTGAGATGAGCGCGTTTAAACAAACTCTCCCCTTTATAATATTAATATAGGTGTACAAGAGAAGAACATTTATTGAAATTACAATTATACCTATAGTAACTAGTAATTTTTACTGTATGAACAATAAATAAATTATTTATTCGTAGTATACGAAACTATTATAGAAAAATTGACATAATGTATTTATTTCATATTTTCAGGAGCCGCGTGAAGTCTGCAGCAAACTACCAGATTTGACAAAATACAAACCACGTTTGTTCACGACGACAGCTCTGCAACAGGCCAAAGTGGATCTCACGTGGGACGCCACCAACCCTAATAGAGCTGAACTTATAAAGAGTGCCCTCGATGGCAAAATTGATGACTTGGAATTGAAAGAATATCTGGCTTCTAGTAGTGAAGGTATAGTCGAGCTAAAGAACAAAATCTATTTAATTATCCTATACATATAATACTTTAAAGTACACACATATTCAAATTTTATTTTATTTTTAATTTAATTTTGGAGTAAGTGTAGTCATTCCCTGAAGAAGCTGTTAAAGTTCAAGTTACTATTATGTGTAAATTGCATATCAAATCAATTACAATGATAAGCAAATTGTTTTTTTTTAATTGTTATTATTAAATTAAAATATCTTTTCGGATTATTTCGCGGATTTATTTTGATTTTTGGTTTTTTAAATTGTTATCTAAATAGCAGCTAAATACCTAGTTCTCAGAATTTACTACTATATAAATAATGTACTTGCCTAAATAAATGCATAAATATAGCTACATTTTGTTCTCATTCACTCAAGCATTGTAAAAAAGTAACAAACACACTTAAAATCATCTTTATAATGTGTGATAATGTGAAATAATTTAAAATGTTTTTTCTGAAGATGCCTATTATTTTTAGATGAAAATGAAGAAGAACAAGAAGTGAAATCCGATAACGAAGAAGACGATCCAATACTAAAATATAAAATGTTACTCGAAGATATCGAGAAGAAAGAACAGAGAAAAGAAAATAAAGATATGGAAATGGAAATCACATGGGGCTTGGGCGTCAAGGACAAAGCGGAAGAGTTAGTAAGGAAGAAAATGAATGAAGGTAATTCAATCGTAGCATCTATACTATTAATTGTTTTAGGATATTCTTAATCAATTATTCTGTTTGTTAATTAAGTTGTTTTAACGACACGTTTGGCTCAGTTTGTACTTGCTGTACCAGGCGTCGCGGGTTTTTCACTATTCCTGCTGCTCGATGGCTAGTAATCTTTACGATCTTTTTATAAAAAAGAAAAAAATGTTTTTTTTGTCTGTAATGGATAAACCAAAAAATTACTAGACCAATTTTAAAAATTCTTTTACCTATCAAAAGCTACATTATCAGCAAGTAACATGGTCCATATTTAATCATTAAAAAAATTAAAGATCGCCACGAATTTTGCAATAATGTGACGTAAGGTATCAAACATTTGCCTTTAATAGCTTTAGTCTATATATGTTTGTAAATATTTTTCAGATGATAAGAACCTAACGCCTTTTGAAAAATTAATTCAGAAGAAAAAAGAGAAGAAAAAGCAAAGAAAATTAAAAATGAAAGAGCTCAAGGAAAATGAAAATACTGAGTCAGGTGAGAATTCTTCTGACGAAGTACCTTCAGATATTGACATGAATGACCCATATTTTGCAGAAGAATTTAATAAGCCGGAGTTTAAAAATAAATCAAAAGGTAAAAAGATATCTAAAGTAAAAGAAAGTGGTGATTCAGATGAAGACGAGAAAAAGAAAGCAGAATTAGAATTACTCTTGGATGATGATGATGGCAAAGAGCATTTTAGCCTCAAAAAAATACAAGAAGCCGAAAACATTTCAAAGAAATCCAAGAGGAAAAGAAAACTTAAAGAAAAGATGAAAGAACAAAAGTCGGCCGTTCCAGACTTTGAAATAAATCTAAACGATCAAAGATTTGCTGCATTATATGACTCGCATCATTTCAACATCGACCCCACCGACCACAACTTCAAGAAAACCAAGAATATGGAACGACTTATACAAGAAAAACTAAAAAGGAGACCGGCAGATAACCTTGAAATGGAGGTCACGTCAAAAAAATCTAAAGAAGATACGGAATTAAATGTTTTAGTTAAAAATCTGAAACGGAAAACAAAAAATGTATTAAATAATTAAATAATAAATTGTGTTCCACTTTGCCTCTCTGCCATTAATAATAATATGTAGTTAGTACCTTTTAAATGTTGAGCCTGTTCTACAAAACAGCTTTGACAAGTTGTGAAATTTTTAAGATGAACTTCGGTGGTGTAGACGGCTAGTGTAAAACGGCTACGGCTGCAGATCCGGCAGTCCTGGGTTCGAGACAAATCAGTAACAACTAGTAACCCGGGTTGGGAAGTAAGGAAGTATTTCATTTTCGTGTCTTAAAGGGTAAGATGGTAGAAGGATAAGGTCCTGTGCTGATCTCGTTGTGAAACGGTCGTTTAAATTGGAGAATTTTCATGTTTTTTTTTTAAATTAATATCAAAATTTAAGTCCAGTATAAAAAGAAATCTTTCAAAAACAATAATAAAACATTATATAGTCTGAAATATACAATATAAGTGTATAAAGGCATAGCAAATGAAATGATTTCACTCAGACTACTCGGTTAATACGAATGACGACCTCCGTCGCTGTTCGAGGCACCAATTATTTCTCACATAAGTTAGGCGACTTTAAAATTTTATCGTATCTTAAAAAGAAAAACACCAATGTTTTGTTTATGTATAATTCAATACATGTAGCTCGTTTCTAAGTAATAGCTACTTTTTCTTTCACAATAAACAAGCGAGAGAGAGAAGAATAAAATGAAACTAAAGTATTTTGGTCACAGTTTAATAAGTAATAACATAATTAACTTTTTACACAAATCTTGCTATGAACAATATTGTCTTTATATAGGTACAGTGAACACGCGAAGTTAATGTCTGCCACACATCACCATATGAAAATAATTTGTTATAAGGACAATGTAGCAATCTAATAAAATATTGTCAAGGCTGAATAAAAAAACGTAAAAATATATCTTTTATATTGCTGAAAGTAAATATGATTATAATATGCTATTATAATCATATTTACTTTCAGCAATATAAATGATACAAATATTCGCACAGGTTAGAGGTTTCAAAAGCGATACCAAATAATTAGGCAAACAAATATTTATATATTAAAATGTGAAGCAAAAACTTGTACCCCTTTTTACGAAAATTGCGCGATGGAGTATGGAATTTCCAACACGTATAGTTTATATAGAGAAGGAGTGCAGAATGCTAATTTTTTTTTTTAATTGGGATAAAAATCCATTAAATCAATAAAAAACATTACACACACTACCATGTATTTGACACACACACGCATATATTGTTTATTGATAAAGTCTGTGGTCAAATCGAGAATTATGTATGTATATAGTTTAATAGCTATTTAAGAGCTTTAGTTTTATAAATAAAAAAAATCAATAATAATTATGGTCGAAGTTCGACCACTCGGCGAACTCTAATTTTATTAAATATGCATTAAAAGTAAGTAAAAACTAAATTTATTTTTCTCTGTTACTACGTAATCAAAAGTGATCTGGATTGGCTGAATGTACATTAACGTTACAGAGCAGTAAACTCTCAAACAACGTGGCTGACAATGGGTTTTTGAAAGAAATACTTTAAGAATTTAAAGCATTGCTCAAACATACTGTTCGAATTCGTATAAAAACGCAGTACAATACGTTAATGTTAAGTAAACAACATATATAGAAAAAAATGGTACCCTTGACTATATTTTATTAGCTAACATTATCATATTTAGTACAAAAAAATTTTTATTTGGTAAGGAGTTGACTGAGAGATGATCTAATTTCAGATCTAAGACAAGGTCAAACTCTTAATCAAGATGCACTCAATGCTTTCTTAATTTCTCTGCCCAATGCTGCACCTAGAGGTGGTGGGACAGCATTTCCGATCTGTAAAAAATTACACTAATTAAAAAAATATATAAAAATATTTTAAATATCTATATAACTACCATGTGGTAGCTCAGTGGTAACGCACTCGCTTGGGAAATCGAGTGAAGCGGGTTCAAATTCCAGGTCTCGAACCGATGATATTTTCATGTGCGAATCATTTTTGACATTGATTACCACTTATCTTACGGCGAAGGAAAACTTTGCCAGCGTGGTGGACTATGGCCAGATCCCCCTCGTATTGGAGGCCCGTACCCTGCAGTGGGACGTTAAAAAGGACTGAATACATACCTTTCTCTTTCATAAAATCATATCATCAAAATAAAATCACAATATAATTAACATCATAAAATAAATAACAAAGTTATTAATTAATTTACGAATCAGTTGTTATTACACATTACATACTAGACACCCTCGTTTAATTCAAGCGAGTCCCAACGTGACTAGCAGTGACCTACGTGGAAATTTAGGTTTTAGTCAGAATAAATTACAAACGTTTTCACAAACGCACGCGCATACGCACATACACACAGTACACACACAAATAAACTTTCCGTGCGGTGCTTTGACGCAAAGAGGCGGCCGCCTTTTTTCGCAATTTGACAGAATTTGCTAACAATTGACATGATAAACCTACCTACCTTTCAGCAATATGGCTCCAATAGTCTCTATGAGTAATATTACTGTAACATATGGACGGACAAATTATAAGGATTTCGTTTTTGCCTTTTAACAACGGCACCATAATGAAAAGTACATAGGGCGGTATTTCCAAAACTTGCGTCATACTGAGAAATTCTACCACATGGCCCTGGTCTAATAACAATAATGACCTCCCGACCGACCATGGCTGTCTGTCTCATTGAGACTAGCCATATGCGCAGGAGATATTATAGTGCACAAGTGTGCGCGCAGACACAAGTGCACTCTCTATTCCTGTCACTCTCATACTCCGGTGGGACGACACGAGACACGACCGGTAAGAGTTAAGGGGCAGAACCGACGGCTTTACGTGCTCTCCGAGGCACTTCCCAACTCCGTCTGTTACTGAGGCTTACTAAACAGAAAGACTCAATAACTAAACTTGGCCCGAACCGGGACTCGAACCCAGGACCTCTCGTTGTTATGTTCAGCCGTACATTCTAGCCACTACACCACCCAGGCAGTTATATATATATTCTAATAAAAATAGCAGACCTGTCGATATTTATCGAGTACGGAGCCAGCAAAGAGATAGGAGTCACGGAAGCCCTGCGAGCGCGCACACTCGCGCACGGACACCACGCGCGGCTGGTCGGGGTGCAGCACGCGGCCCTGCTTGCCCATCGGCTCGGGGTCCGTCACCGTAGTACTGAAGTAGCCGTCCCATGAAATACGCCCTGTTGACACAAAATAGTTTACTGTTTGGTTCAAAGGTTGTTACTAAACACCTGAACAATAATGTTTAGTAGGTGTGTTATAAATACATAGAAACACTTAAAGGCAGTGCATGTTTGGACAGCAATCAAACCATCTACGTTCATTATCATTCATTAGCATCATTAATTAGCACCAATTATCAGTATAGCATATAATTAAATCAATAAACTTTAGAATGATCTATATTTAATTTAGCAATCACTTAGTGGTGGTCGCATCCCCTACAGTTGCAATAATAATATCCGGCTCGAAGGACCATGAACATATCTCCTATGCCTCGAACGTCACTTCTACCACTAGGTCACATTAAAACCAATGGCTTCCAGACGAACACTTTAATTTTGGATTAACAACCGTAGAAAATAATTTTCCTTCTAAAGTGAAGTGCCACATTCTGTGTATTTTTGAAGTGAAAACTTCTATGGGCAGGATGGGAAGTAAATTCATGGAAGTCGTCATGGACATGATCACGTGACGTGTTAAAGCTAACACTCGGAGTGCCGATAGATATCAAAACCAGATAAATGTAAACAGTTTTAATTTACAAATTTTAATTTAAGATCAAACAATTAAATTGAATATGCAAAAATAACAACTGTTTGTTTATAGTTTTAACTATTCACTTCTGTCGGCAGTTTTCATGACTGCTTTCTATTTGTATTATCTACTTGTTTGTGCAATAAAGAATATATAAATATTATAAACTAGCGATTCATCCTCACTTCGCTCAGGTTCGTCCCTAGGTAAGTTTCAACCGTTAGCGTGGAATAGATATAACTTGTTTTCCGGTAGGAACAAAATAATCCCCCATGGTAAAAAGTAGCCTATGTCACTCTCCAGCCCTCTACCTTCATTCTTCACACAAAAAACACGACAATCTGGCACTTTATTTCGACGTGAAAAAAGGATAATTAAACAAACAAATAAAGTCAACGTCAAATTGTATATTGTAGAAAGAGAAAGTGTCAAATACACAACCATTCAAATACTTTATATTAATTTTAAGAATACGTTTATAATTATAATGTGGTGGTAAGGAAAAAGAAAAATGTGATTTTAACGTTTTTCCGTGACTTTTTTCGAATATTTCTCTTCATAAGAACCTTCCCGCAATTCCCCGGATATCAGCGAATATTTGAAAAAAAATTAGACTAATTACTCCAGTCGTTATCGTGTTTTGCGCTTAGCAACATTCATTTTTATTTATATAAGACAGGATAGGAGCTAGTAGTAGGCTGGACGTAGCGTACCGTAGAGGCCGGCCCAGTTGTTGTGTCGGTTGGCGGTGTGCGGCAGGCACCAGGGGATGAGCGTGTTCTCCTGGCGGTCGGCGGGCGCGCAGGGCAGGCCGGCCGCGCACGCGCACACGCCGCGCAGCGCGCCGCTGCCCGAGCGCCCGTTCTTCTTGTCGTCGTACCGGTACTGCAGCACCTGGAATTACAAACATTGCTATTTATTCGTTTGGTCGGCACTTTAAAGAATTTAAATCTTTTACAACAGTCTACTAATGTATACGTTTTGGAACGTTTGCAAAATATGGCAATCCGATTTGTTTATGGTTTGAGAAAATTTGACCACATTTCTCAATATCGAGCTCAACTCAAATGGCTCACCGTTAAGCAGCGACGGAACTTGCATATCCTTACTCTCCTATACACTATCCTTTTTCACTCCCACGCTCCTTCTTATCTTAAAACAAGGTTTAGTTTCCTTGGTTCTATCCATCCCCTAAACCTTCGATCGCAAATCGACAATAAATTAGCATTGCCCGTGAGTCGCACCCAAAGCTATGGTGACTCGTATACAGACAAAGCTGTAATATTATGGAATGCTTTACCACATGACATTCGCCAGTCGGAATCGGTGCAAGTATTCAAACGTAAGCTTAAAAACTACTATTTATCGCTGTAACTCTATGTATATTTATGTAAGCCCTGTTTATGTAAGTTTATTGTAGAATATATACGTATATTGTTTACACTTATATATTATACTATATATTTATGTATGTTCTTATTGTTATTTATGTAAGCTTCGGTGTACTTTACAGTATGTAACGTTTAAGTTTATTATAGACTATTTCTTTTTTTCTGCACCAACCATAATCCATGTCACTCTATGAGTTTCTTTATAATATAGGTTGCCTGGAAGAGATCACTTTAGTGATAAGGCCGTCTTTACACTAACGTATATTTGTAAAGTTATATATATTTTTTTAAATTGTATTTTTGTTTTGGTGTAATAAAGGATTAATAAATAAATAAATAAACGTTCTTCTTACTAACAACTAAGTCTAGAGATCGTGATCGCAAATCGCGGTTAATACGTGTATATCTACATTAATAGAACAATTTTATTGTATTTATACTTTAGGTACATACTAATGAGCTTTCCTTATTCGCGGTTCCGTTATTCACGGTTTCAGTATTCGCGGAAGAAAAATTTAAGACCCACTTCCTGTATTCGCGCCCGAAAATTTAGTTATTCGCGGATACAGAACTTACGATTATGTATAAGTACAATGTAAAAACAGATAATATTCACTGTTAAATATTGAACTTTTTTAATAAAACCACTTACCACACCATTGCATAAAAGACCCGATGGATTGAGTAAAAAAACACGTGTTTCGTCAAAATCAAGCAATTTGTCAAAACTTGATGAATGTGCAATGAAAAACCTTTTACTTTGAGTAACAATCGTAAAACTTGTTTTTTTTTCTTCTTCTATCTTTTGTTTTGTTTGAAAACAGATGTGTTATTATCTTTTGATAGCACTGTAATGAACTGTTATTTATTATTAAATTGTTTTTTTATTTATTACATATACATATATATTTTTATTACATTGGAACGCAATCCCTACATTTCCATACAAATCATCATCTTATATTCACGGTTTCGGTATTCGCGGTAAATTTTGGAACATATACCGAATAAGGAGATTTTATTGTACTTACTACATATTACATCGTAACTTCATGTTAAGTATATAGTTAACGTGAAGTGTTGGTTAACTCGCCTTGCACTTGGTGCCGTCGGAGAGCGTGACGGAGAGGTTGGGCAGGTCGCGCCAGTCGGAGCCGGGCGCGGTGGGCACGCGCGCGATGCGCGCCTGGACGAGCGGCGCCATGTGCTTGCACACGTGGTCGCGCAGGCGCGCCGCGTCGTCGCGCGCGCGCGCCCGGCGCTGGCAGTGCGTGGCCGGCATGCCGCCGTAGTCCAGGTCGGCGCGGCTGGCGCCGTTGGGCACGCGCGGCAGGTCGCCCATGGCGTCGCGCACCGTGCACGTGCGGCGCGGCGCCGACTCCTCCCAGCGCGCGTTGGTCGCGAAGCGCTTGCCGTCCACGCTGACGGCCAGCGAGCAGGCGCGCCGGCTGAACACGTGCGTGGGCTCGGGGTAGGCCGGCAGCGCACGGCCCGGCGCCGCCGCCAGCACTACCAGCCGTCGCCGCGTCTGTGGCACCCCGTAGTTGCCGGCCTGTAGCACGCCGAACGTGCACTGGTAGCCCATGTCCAGCAGTGCCCGCAGCGTCAACTTCAACACCATGCCCTTCTTGAAAGCGACGAAATTCCTCACGTTCTCGAGAATGAAGTATTTTGGGCGATAGAAGTCGCAGAAAGACAGATATGAGGCGACGAGAGAATTCTTGAAGTTGGAGTACTCCCTAGAGTTGAACCTGTTCATACCGGAGAAGCCCTGGCAGGGCGGGCCGCCGCAGAGCAGCTCGACCTCGCCCTGCGCGGGCAGGCGCAGGCCGGCGGCGCTGTGCGAGGCGCCGGCCATGGCGTCGCGCAGCAGCGCGTTGCAGTCCTCGTTGAACACGGTGCAGGCGCGGTTGTTGAGCGCGTAGGCGTGCGCCGCCGCCTCCACGTTCTCCACGGCCCAGCGGCACTCCGCCACGCCGGCCTGGTGCAGCCCCTCGGACAGCCCGCCGCAGCCGGCGAACACGTCTAGGGTTCTCAGTGGCCTGATTTTAACTTCTTCGATCTTCGTACTCGATTCCGCCGCTTTGCTAGATTTTCCTTTGCCCTTGCCTTTTCCTTTGTCCACTCGTCCTACACACCTCGCATGTTGCGGAACGTCTTCGAACTGACCGCTCGATTTGTTAAACGCCATTCGGAAGTAGACTCTATTCGGGTCCCTTTCCAGCCAATCTTGAATGTGGTCCTGCTGTGGAATGTTATCTACGTAGATCAGATGGCACGGCCCCATGACGGTAGAAAACGATATTTCCTTTAATTCCTCGCTCCAATAAACAACGTTGAGGTCTTCGTGATGAGGAAATCTACTGGTAGTGTTTTCAGGTCTGTATAAAACATTCACTTTTAAGTAAATGTCTTGGGGGACTATTAGAGGACCTGCTCCAGCGGCAGTAACGGCTGCTATGTAACCGACACAAAATGGCTCGCCGGTATCCATATTAGAACCCCGTAAATAATTATCACTTTTTCTATAGTATTCTGGATAAATGTCTTCATCAACCTTTTCAAGTTTCATTTTTTCATTATCACTATAATTTGTTATATTGTTCTTCAGTTTGAATGTACCCGGCTTTAGGAATACTCCACATCCTTTCTTATAATCAAAATCCCTCCACTTGACCGTCGTCCATTCAGTTCTATTTGCGTCTACAATAGACGATTTTTCCAATATTTTGCCTGAAACTTTTGGAATATCTTTAGCATCACGTTTTGTTTTTCGTTCACACGAGGGGCAAAATCTGTGCTTTCTTAATTCATTTGGACACTCTGGATCAGTCGGAAGGTCCTCGAACCGAGCCGTAAATCTTTCATAGTATTTTTGATAAAAGTATGTTTTGCCATCGTCTTCGAAGAATTCTTCAACCACTTCTTTACCGCCTAGCCTGAACCAGTCTTTAGGCGGTTCCCTTCTCTCCACGCACGCTTTTCTTAATATCGAAGACAAAGGAGCGCCGTGACAGCATCTATCGCCCAAATACACTTCCCGCGGGTCACCGACCTCTCCTAGAACAGTATCCGATGAACGTATAAACACTTCCGCGTGAAAGTATCCAGACTTGGGGTTTATAATTTCCTTCCACATATACGTAACTCTCGCAACCAGCGCCGGTATATTCGGCTGCGACGTTTCCACCATGACGAAATCTCCTACTTTGAGTTCGGCACCGTCTATTTCGACACTCTCGTAGTATATTTTAGTGGTGTCCGCTTTGATGGGATCGCCGAGCCAATTGACTGTCTTATTGTTGGCCCCTGTCAACTTTACTGGGACGGTGTCGTCGATCTTGTCGAGGTGGCGCTTGTCGGCAGGCGCATCTTCATCGTCATCGAGGTCGGAGTCATCGGCTTGCTGCACAGCCATGTTGGGGCAGAGGCGCCGCACGCAGGCCTTCTTGGTACGGCCGTGTCCCCCGAACTTGGGCATGGCGCGGCACGCATTGCACTCCCCGCAATCCGGCAATTGGCAAGCCTCGCATATTCCACACCTTTTTCTCCTCAAAACTAATTCTTGATTGGTCTTGTCTAGCTGGTTAGTGAAAAAGCTCTCGAAGGTTTTTCTCACTAGAGGAGTAGTAGTGGCTTTCGTCCACGCTTTCTTATCAATTTTCTTGTAGTCTATTTTGGCACGGACTTTCCGTTTGCCAAATCTAATACCCATCAATTTGATGAGTTCCCTCATACACGGCAACGTGATCATAGGCTCGGCATCCTCGTCGGTCTCCAAGCTCACGACTTGATCGCAAACGAACTGAGCGTGCTTGTGCAACATTTCTTCGGTCATGTTAATATTGTCTAGATCGGGTATGGAATGCTCTCGCACTACTTCCAGCAAGTCTTCATATGTTGGTTGCAAATAGTGATATTCTTCTAAATACTCCACTACTACTTTGCTAAGCCATATTTTTTCATACAAATTATTCATAAGTGGTGTGTATTCTGCGCTTGGTTTAAGTAGATTGTATTCTCCAAATTCTGTTGATAATGTGATACAATTTCTTGATCCACCATCAAAGCCATGTATAAACCTGTATAAAATATAATTTTGTTTCTTACATTTATGTGAATATTTGCCATTTTATTTTTTTAAATTAAAATGATCTTATAAGATTTTTTTGTTGATTTATTGATTTTTTGAATGCTTTCCTAGAATATCTATATATATAAAAGAAAGTCGTGTTAGTTACTTCGCTTATAACTCAAGAACGGCTGAACCGATTTAGCTGAAAATTGGCAGGGAGGTAGTTTAGAGCCAGGAGAAGGACATAGGATACTTTTTATCCCGTTCGACCGCGTTCCAATTTTTATGATATTTTAATTTTTGGATTTCTCTTAGTCCGGAATAGGTAAGTATTAAAACATATAATTAAAATGTGAGAAAGAAAGATTTTTTCTTTTTATATCTATTTAAAACGTACCTAGCGACGAACCCGAGCGAAGCGAGGGTGAGCCGCTAGTATAAAATATATTAATAGTATAAACAATATAGAAATAAGGAGAATTATAATAGTATTGTTAAATACTTTACAATTGCTTTTCTAATGTGACTTTATTATGCTTTGTTTTAGTGATATTTTTTACCTTTTTATAGTCTAAACCTTACCTCTTACCTCTAAACTTAATATATTTAAAGCATTATGAATTTACCATTCTATGATAGGTCCAACATCTTTAACTGGTATAGATTCTTCATCAATATCAGGAGATTCAGAGCATATTGATTTGAGGTACCCTGACATGTATATCCTTACATCACTCTCCACAAGGCCACCGTCAATAGGGCATAAGTGGCCTTGTTCATCAAATATAGAAAATCCTGTAATATTTGTTTGTGGCCTTTCCATTATGTCTCCATCTTCACCTAAAAAATTTTAAAATGTAAATATTGTCTTTGTAAAAGTACTTCTAAAATATACTCAAACATGGAATGGCATGGAATATTAGACTATAATTTTTTACACAAAGATTTCAAAATTACTTATTTGTATATTTTATAGAATTTTATTCAATGTTCTTTTACTAGTAGTGTAATCCCAGTAGCGCTGCAGTCTCTTGGAAAGCCAAGTGAAGCGAGACTAAGCCCTGAGTCTTGCACATTGATCTTTATGTGACAATTGTTTTCTAAATATTTACCCATGAGTATAGTATATGCTAATATAATAAAGGCACATTGTGAGAAACCCTGCATATCTGAGTGAACCTAACAGAATTTTCAAAAATATATCTTTAAAATTTACCCAATATTGAAACAATATTGAATTATTATTAATCAAATAACAAATGTGTTGTGTAAACACTTAAAATAACTAATAAATAATAAAGAAACTACTAATAAATATACCCGAAGCCAGAACCAATTTTTCATTAGTGAGGGCTATGAATTCTTCTATTGCATCTTGAGGATGTCCTTGATAGAATAAAATGTCTGAATTATTTAGAAATTGTCCACAAATATCACATTTTTCCAAGTCTGGTGTATTATTATTTTTTTGTTTTATTATTACATCCTCTTGTTTTGAACTTTTATTCACATTTATCTCATTACATTTTGCTTTACATAATTTTTCATCTTCATTATAAGCTTTTCTTATAACATCATCACAGTTATCCATATTTAGATTACAAAGTTTGTCTTCAGTTGAAGTTTCAGAACAGTTTACAACTTCTTTGTGCTCTTTTTGCACTCCATTGTCGCTCCATTTTATTGTAGTATCATCCATTTTGACTTTTTTCTAAAACAATTTTTTTAAACAAATAAAAATTTAAAGACGTAGTGTAAAAACAAAACTATGTTTTAATTTTTTTTATAATCTTACCAATTTAGTAATCTCTAATAGTTCATCTGGACTTCTATTACGTTTAGTTGAAAACATACTGGTAATTTTCAACTGCTGACCTTTAACCACTGATCGTCGAGAAGATCTAGGAATAAAATAAGTACAAGTTTTATTTCAAAAACATGATTTTTTTATGTATTCAGACTGGCTATTTACTTACTTGCATAGGGAAGACTCTGAATTATCTTCATGGTCATTAGAATGATTAATTTCATTTTTAGATTTTTCACGTATATAATCCATATTAATAATTGACGATGGCATTATGTAAATTATTTCCTTATATAAACTTTTCCATGTTATGTTAACCTTAACTACTAATTATCAATATTTAAAAATGTTTATTATAAAATAAAAATACACAAACTTACAAACTTTTGTATATACTTATGTCATTGGTCATTTGTCAACTTATTAAAAAGCGCGCGAAATTACTACATAGTACAAACCATGATATTTATATACAGATTACAGACGAAACGTTTACATTCAAATTCTGATCGGATATAACAAGAAGAAATCCGAAGAATCACAGGCCATAATTAAAACAATTTTAAGAAACAAACAAATTTAAGAAATTAGACTATTCACATTATACTTATTTAGATTTACGTGATTATTTCACATTTTAAATATATTATTTGTGATTTTATTTAGATTTTTGGCTCCTTGGGTTTCTGAATAGTAATTATTAACGTGTTCATTACCACTGAAAATTTTTATTAAATTATAGTACGTTGATGATTATGCTAGTTTTGACTAAAATAAAACACGAATATTTGATTTGTTGTTTATTTGTAATACAATATAATATGATTAATATATTTAATGGTTTATCTATGTAAGTTTGGGGTCACACCGGTTCCAATACATATAATCGCACAGTTTGTCTTATTTTTTCTTTTCCTTAAAAAATATAATTTCGAAATAAACGCATTAATTTCTAAAGCTTGTTTCATCAATGAAATTAAATGCGCTCAAATAGCTGCAGCATCATAACGAATGCAATTTTAATATTGTATGCTGATGTTGGTCTAATCACAACTAACGAAAATTTTGATTTTTCTATATCAATGCAATAAAATTAATTTTCTATCATACAAACAGTATTCATGATTAGAACCATCTAGCTCGCAGTCTAACTTCCAATGTCATATATCAATTGCTGACCCACGAGACTGGATAGTTTGTAAACGTCTTCGAATTCCCATTTTAGGTAATTAAATCTAAATTTATGCTTGATGTAGTTCTAGAGAAAGCTTTAAAGTTGGTCATTTGCCTTTTCAGCATATCTTCCGTTTTGCTGTTAGTTGATTTATTGTTTAGAGCCCAAGAGGTACTGGGAGTGAGAGCTATTGTGGGGTTGAGGGTTGGTGGCTTAATTACCGGCGACTTTGGCCTGTCCGGTGCTACTGATGAATACTTTTGAATAGAGTCTCGAATTTTAGTATATTTTTGCTTTACTTCATCGTATTGATTACTTCTAAAATAATAGTGAGACGCATCTCCGAATGATTTTAAGCTGATATGATTACTGTGGAACTCTTTCCACTAAGAGTCTAGAGTATCCAATTACGTTTTATCTAATCTGAATTTTTCTTACGGAACTTTTTTTTAAGTTCGCAAATAGCTGATCTATGGCATTGACAATTTGCTCTTGAGTCATAAGTATATCTTCCATGGTAGACATGATGATGTCAGTACTAAGTTGACTGATATATAAAACAAATAAGAAAGATCTTACTTGATAGCTGCTACATGAATCAATCACAATATGATGATTTCCCAGCACAACTTCATGGTACAGGGGTTGTGCACAATGTTTTTCCACGTGCCGCTAACCGGAACCGCCGACACTAATACAGGTTATTGCATTCGCGACGTGGTCCCGCCTAACGACGGCTTGAAGGACCAATGTGGGGGTTGTTGATAGATGTAAATTGATAGAGTCTACTGAGAATGTTTTAAAACTGATTTATTAGTAATAAACTGATATATTAAAATGATTAAAATAATATGATATGATGTGAGCGCGTCCGGGCTTTTTGCTTGCCGAATGCGAACTAAACTTACTTTTAGTATAATAATTAATATATAATGGAATAAATGACCGTACAACATACAATAATAATTAATATTTAATTTATTATTTCATATGTCTACGGTGACGGTGGTCCCTTGTGGGTTTTAATTAGAACAAGTGTCACAGTCCCCTGCCCTTGATAGCCAACAGAGATGCTATGATAAGGGGCAAAATCGAATATGATTATCTCCCACATATTATATAAAAAATATCAATTTTCATACCGAACGATTACGAAATTTGAATGCTGAAATGCAATTTCGTGCCAAGTTTTCTTTTTATGAACGTGTCGATGCCAAAGGGCAAAGACCTTACACTTGGTTGTAAGTTTAAGGTCTTTGTTCGACGCCCATATTCTGCACTGATAAGATTAAAGAATCCAGACTGTTTGGGTTTGCTTGCATCGATACAAATGCGACATTGCGCATTCACTGCGCGTCGAACACGCGTCAGCGCGTTAAAGTACCCGTCCACATGGCCAGAAGTCCAGTATGGACCTAATACATGACCAGTTGTGACTGGCCAATAGCCGGGCCCCTATATAAATTATTTGATCAAATTTACCTAGCGACAAAGCTACCCAAGATAGTTTACCCAAGAAGACCATCGATAAACATTACTTATCTGTGCGGTTGATAACGCTGAAAATAACAATAACATGTGAACTTGACATTTGACAATTGACTGTGACATCAAATCCTCAAACGCCTGAGCCCTGACTCAGAGAAAATTAACCTTATTTAGTGTGAAATTTATCCAATTCTAAACCACATAATTAATTTAACATGGAAGATACAGAAAGTATAGCAGAAAATGCGCTAAGCGAGCCAGTGGAAAATGCTTGGGCTATGAAAATTCCTAGATTCACTCAAGATGACAATCCACATGGTTTATTAGAAGAAAGTAAATTTGCCACTTTGTTTCCAAAATATCGGGAACAATATTTAAAAGAATGTTGGCCTCTCGTTCAAAAAGTGTTAAAAGAACATCAAATTATAGCTGAGCTAGACTTAATAGAAGGAAGTTTAACTGTAAAAACAACCAGGAAAACATGGGATCCATATATTATTATTAAAGCCCGTGATTTTATGAAACTTCTTTCTAGGAGCGTCCCATTTGAACAAGCTGTTAGAGTTTTGGAAGATGAGATAGGTTGTGATATTATAAAAATTAACTCATTTGTGAGAAAGAAAGAAACATTTCTAAAACGTCGCCAGAGACTAATAGGGCCCAATGGGGTAACCCTTAAATCAATTGAACTGCTAACAGAGTGCTATGTTCTTGTCCAAGGTAACACAGTATCAGCTGTTGGCCCATATAAAGGATTAGTACAAGTGAGACGTATAATTGAAGATACAATGAAAAATATTCATCCAATGTATAATATAAAAAGTCTTATGATAAAAAGAGAGCTAATGAAAGATCCTAGACTTAAAAATGAGAATTGGGAACGCTTTTTACCTAAATTTAAAAGTAAAAATGTCCCAAGAAAGCAACCTAAAACTAAAATCAATAAGAAACCTTACACACCCTTCCCACCACCTCAACCTGAAAGCAAAATTGACAAAGAATTGGCGTCTGGTGAATATTTCCTTAAAGATGAACAAAAACGGGCTAAACGTCGTCATGAAAAGGAAGAACAACAAGAGCAAGTTAAGAAAGCTAGAGAAGAACAACGTAAGAAAGATTATATTCCTCCTGAAGAGAAGCTTTCTAACAAAAGTGATTCCCCTCAAGAACCATCATTAGATATTAATAAATTTAAAGCAAAAATGAAGAAATTATCTAAACATAAATTAATTGTTAATGTTTGATTAAACATAAAATAAAAAGTAAATTATCAAGACTTTTAGTACCTCCCCATGAGTTTAATATTAGTTATTGTGGCTATAATTATTATCATGAAAAGCTGTGTCAAGGTAAATACAAAAGTCTGCCAAATTGGCAGTGTTTACTTTTTTACAATGACTTTCTTTAAAATATTTAAAATATTTTGATAGGGATAACAGTAAAAAAAATGAAACTTAGTTATTGCACAATATCTCATTTTAATCTTAAGTAGTCAAAATTATATTTCATTAAATGTATTGAATTACATATTGTTATTATAAAAAGCTAGGGGACTCACTCTCGCTCCACTCTGGTTCATCCCTAGACATTTAGTATAATTTTCTCAGAGATATTTTCCGGTAATAAAAAGTATCCTATATGTTGACCCGGGTAAGCAGCTATCATCATACCAAATTTCATCAAAATCTATACAGTGGTTTTCTTCTGATGTGTTCCCAGCCAAACATACAAAAATTCTAAAAACTATAGATTCGGCCTCTGTATTGATAATAATGATTTTTCCAAAAAATATTTAATGTATAGATTTGACTCTATAATTTTATATATGCAAAGCAGCAAAATAATAATAAAACAATAATTATATAACTTCAATGAATTTCTAGAATTGTACTTATGCAATATGTTAATGGCATATAGTTTGTCTTCCATTAGAGAGATGCCTGTATTCTAGTTTAGTAGTTACTTGTACATAGAAAAAAAAGAATTTAACCCCAAAAATCGTTAATATCAGACTCTTAGAAAATATTACTAATACTTGACTTAACCTTGAACCATTTTTTCATAGGGGTAATATTCCATCAGAAATTGCTATGTGACTATTAATTATTACAGAAACATATTTTTTATTCTTAATGACTTCTACATCTTTCGATATGAGAGAAATGAGAAAAAGACATATTTTTAAAAGTTCTATTTTTTTAATGTCTTTATTAGTTTTAATTTAGGTACATTGGAATTTTTACTAATTACTTGTTTCCCATTCATAAACGATTGTAACACAGGTGGAACATTAACTTTTCCTTTTGGATCTTGATGTGATTCAAGTAAAGTAATGAGCATTCTTGGTATTGCGCATGCTGTACCATTAAGTGTATGAACATAACTGACAGCATTACCGTCAGTATATTTTATATTAAGCCTTCTAGATTGATAATCAGTACAGTTACTACAACTTGAAATTTCACCATAACTCTTACGCCCGGGCATCCAGGCTTCAATATCATATTTCCTGAAAAAAAAATACATTAGAATTTTTATCATATACATGATTTTAGTACAGATTTAGGACATCGGTAGGGGGTCTCAAATAGTTTTTAGGTCATGAACGAATTAACCACTGGACCAGACATATAAGCGGACGTACCTTTAACGGTCATGTCAGTAACCAGGGAATTTTAGCCTAGGTCGTTTGTTTTTTGTGTCAGTCTCAAGCACTTACTTGTCAAAAAAACATCTCCCAAAAATGACTAAATGTTCTGTTAAATGGTGTAAAAACTATAACGGTGGAAGCAGCACTATTTCTTTTCACTTGTAAATACATTATTTTATTACATTTATTGTTATTTATCACAATATTTAATTAAATGTAAAATAAAATGTCATATTATCCTACTATGTTAAATATAGTCGATATTTCTATGTATTGTTGACATCTGACAACCATTATAAACGGGTTGGATTATACCATTCAGAACAAATGACAAAACTGTCGAGTGAGTCCATTTGACATCGACTAGTGCTTGACAATGTCGAAAAATATATCGATATTTGAAGAAATAACTGAACGAATTGTGTTATTTGTACAGTACAATAACATAAAATACTTTTATCACAGTATCCTACAATCTGATGACAATAAATTTACAAAAATATTTTCTAAATCAAATAAAAATATAAATGCAAAAATTATAATTAGTATGTGTACTTAATTTTTTATTTTATTTTATACCACATTTATATACTTTGGAATATTATTCCATTGTAATAATAATACAGATCATTTTATTTCAACACATAAATTACACAAAATCAAACAATAATGTTTTAGCACTAAACTTCTGGGTTGGCGATTTATAATAAAACACTTTACCACTTGCACTAATTATTTTACTTTCACGATCCAACACTCACTTTTTCACAATTTGCAATCACTTTTTCTTTTTCCTAATTTCACAAATGTTTATTAATAACTGAGCAATATTAGGACAGTGTCACCTTTTTATAACTACCCGAGACAATCCATTGCCAATTAAAATAGTTCAATAACAGAATCAACAAAATCACTTTATTTAATTAAATTAGCTTAATATTTTTTTTAATCTTTACAAAATATTATATATTAATGGAATATACGCCCGATATTCATTTGTTTATTAACATTATTATAGGCTAACAGAGTGTTGCCATCAAAGCCATCGTATTTATATAAATCAAATTAAAAAATAATTATTATTTAACACATTATTATTGCCTCTTTAATTCATTTATTTTAATTTATTATAATAAATACACATATTTTAAATTAAAAGATGTAAAATATGATGACTATGCTAACCAATGTCTAAAATGTCATTCATTGGTTCATTGATATATGTATTTTATCGATTACGTTCAAACACTAGAAATATTGTATTGTGTATCAGTGTTTATAATAATGTAATAAAATCTTTGTGTGCGTTATGCGTCACTTGGTTGAACTAGTTTTCATACATTTGTATTTTATGTCAGGTCCAGTCTCTAATTCGTCCATGTTTTAGGTGTTCTAAATTAGATTTTTTGTGTGATAGGTCAATGCAACCTTTTGTATGGACTGGTGGCATCATTTTTTTCTTTCACCAGTAATGAAACTTAGATCATAATTAGAAGATTATGTAAGAAGTCTACTAAAGAAGAAATCAATTGACTAAACCATAACAAAGCTGAGATATTGTGGTTGCTATTGGTTTTTATCATACATTATTTTTTAATAAATACAACTTTATTCTACTCAACCAGCTTACATAGAGTGCCTCGGCTCCTTCTTAGATCATATAGAAAATGACACATTATTACTGTTTGGTTATGTAAAGAAAAAATTATGCCAAAAGTTGCATACCCCTTTCTGTAGTCATCTTAATTTAGCAAACTTAAAAAGGTAAATTCAAAAGAACTTCTTTAATTTTTTGGAGCATCTAGACATATACATATGTATTTATATTCTCTATACCTGTATGCAGGAGCTCCAAGTTCATGTGCTGGCATATCCAAAACTTGCATATGGAAATCTAATGGTATAAACAGCTCTTCTTGAGTTTCCCTTAAATACTCTAACATTTCATCAGAATCTTCCGGTAAAGTAACAGCAAACATTTCCACTTTAGTGAATTGATGAACTCTACAAATATTTTAGTTAATTTTAATGCTGTAATTTTATGTTTAAGCTATATATTATTACATTTTTTTAAATACCTGTATGTTCCTCTTTCTTCTATTAAATTGGATGTTTCAGCTCTAAAACACCTACTTACAGCTGCCAATTTTAAAGGTAAATTTTCCTTTGAATGTAATGAATTTGTCAAAAGACCAGCTAAAGACATCTCAGCTGTGCCTGATAGGTATAAATCTGGTCCATGATGTATTGAATCCAGAGAATATATCTACAATACAAAACAATATGAATTAAATAATCAAAATATCAAATATGTTAAAAAAAAAAACAAATTAAATATACTTGTGTACGATCATTATTTATCATCATTCCACAGCTTCTTAAAATGTTACTGGATAATATGTCTGGTACAGATATTAAACAAAAGTTTTTTCTCAGAAGTGTAGAAACAGTATATTTTATTAATGCTTCTTCTAATTCTGCTAATTCACTCAAGTAATAGTAACTTTTATTGCCACAAGTGTATCCTAATTTATCAGTACGCATTAGATTTAAATGTTGTGTTATTTCACTAAATTCTAAAGGTTTATGTTGGCCAAAGTCTCGTATTGTGTTTATTTTATGCACAATTTTAGGGGCATCCTTATATGATTGAACAAGAGGATGAGTTTTATTAGGCAAATTCACTAGTTCCTTATATAAATTTTCTTTAATAGTATGAAAAGCAATATCACTGGTTGGTGTATCCTTATATAAATTGTAAATTTCATGAACTCTATTTATATCACCAATACCTTTTCTGTTATTAATATTATTTGTTATTTCTAATATATTTTTCCTATTACAATAATAGTTAATATCAATATCAGGAAAAGGACTTATAGAAAACATTCTTAGACCGCTTGGTCTCCATATTAATTTATAAATGTGGGGTGTTAACATTACTAATAAGAAATATTTCAATTATTGATAGTTTTGAAGATAAAATTATCACAATCAAATAACAATAATATAATTTCAAAGGCAGTATAGATTGACCTATTGAATTATTGACTATTTTCGTTCGATAAATAAAGTTTAATCTTTATGCAAAGATTGACATTTGACATTACATCACAGGCCACAGACAGTAGACCACAGAACATACCACAGACTAAGTTAAAATTAAATTGATAATAGTCGCACTACAGTCCACAGGTTAGACACCATGGAAGAGATGACATAAACAAGGGAACTGCGATCAGCGATGTGTCATTTGACTGTTTCACCGAGACTTGTGTTTTAGTGGGTAGTACCGTAGTACTGGCTTCTCTAGCCGGTGAATCCCACATAATCACCTGTGTATGTGGTATGCGTAAATGCTCAAACTATATGGAAATGCTACCGTAAATGTATTTTCCAACATTAAAAAAAGGTTGTTGCAGGGAGGGAGTGGAGAGGCCCGGAGGGTCTGAAACGTCCGGCACCAGTCACCACTCACCAGCCGGGCACGAAACCATGTAGGTATGCGTTTGTATATGTCGCAGTGAAATGAGGATATTAGGAATTTCACGAAATCCCTAGAGATACCACGAAATCACGGAAGATGACGAATATTATTGTTATTTACGTCTTTTTACTAAAAATGTTTATATCGTCATTTCCCAGCGATATATACTTATGCCATATCCCAACGTAAAATAAAGGTTGTTGGGATATAATACTTTGAAACTTCTATTACATTATTGGTTTCAACGATCAAAAATTGATCGACGATTGGTATCCGTGTTATTATTTAAGTTAAAAATATACCTAATATGGAAAGTAAAATAGTTATACACAGTGCCGGATTCAACCTTAGCGCCGCCCCTGGGCATAGGAAAAAATGCCGCCCTATTACCGAAATTTTGAATAAAATGTTGAGTTATTTTTTTTATTATGCATTTTTTGAAAAATTCAAAAAAGAAATAGCCACAATGTGTCGAACGTGACGAAGTCGACGGTGTCAATAATAATAAATTGAGTTTAAAGGCTATTAGTAATAAGAAAAAAATATTAATTTAGATTGACGCCAGAATGGCTGCAGCCTGTACGGATCTAGATGAAATTTAGCACAGACATACATTATAGCCTGGAATAACACATAGGGATACATACACATACTTTTTATCCCGAAAAAATGTACGGTTCCCGTGGCATAGGCTTGTTTTTGCTTTCCTAGAGGCGAACTCGAGCGAAGCGAGGGTGAGCCGCTAGTCATTTATATATAAACGATTTACGAACAAACAATTATTTATCGCGAATAATCAAGAACAAACGATATGGCGTGAAAATAAAAATTCAAAAATTAGAGAAAAAATCCTAAGAGGCCAGGTTAATGTAAGCCAGTAATTAGAGTAAGATAAAGAAATAAACAAGGATAGTTATATTTACTAAATTATTTTAGACTCCGTAAATAGTAGAGGTTTTTTATACTGCTATTACATTAACAACTTTAGTCATGTAAATAGTCGAGGTTTTTTATATTGCTTAATGTAAACATTTTAAATTTTTGAACTCTGCACACTTCCGTTCAAAATAGCTAAACTCATATCGCATTTTTCTTACGCCAGCGACATCTATTTTCAACATACAGCTGGACACTTTTTCCCTTCTTCTCCCCATAAGACGGTTCGACTTACCTCTACCCTCCATACTCCTACCAATTGTAATACTTGCGCCACGCCTATTCACACGGTACTTCTTTTTACCTTTATAGCTCTTAGCCTAAAATTGAAAAAACTGGAGGACAAAATTGGAATATAAGCAATTCATATTAATAGAGTTCCTAAAAGCTGCTGGAACTCCCATAGGTACTTTAAAAACTCCAGCTTACCAATATTTAATTCAAGAATTGATTAATTCCTAATATCATAGAACGACAGAATTCGATAAAAAAAAACACATTTTATTTTACAACATATTTATTGATTAAAATCCTTTTATAGGTTGGCCTCCTATCCTATTTAAATTAAATCACTTGAAAAAGAGTGCGAATAATGAGGGAGCTTTATCACTCAACCTCCGTAGATTGTTCAGCCGATTTTAATCTTTGGGATGACTTATTAAATATATTCTTATCATATAGTCTAAGGTCCGATCCAAATCCGTTCGTCACACTGCTGCTTACCAGATAGTGTTTTATATTAAAAAAAAATCTATAATCGATAGTTGCATATCAGTCCAGAGTAGATAATTTTGAACAAGGTTACTATTTTTTTAATGTTACTCTCTTCTTTACAATTAAGTACTACGCAACATTTCTACCGCACCAATAATAGTATCTATCTACGTGCAATACTTTTCTATACACAATCTAGCTGAGCTCAAATTTTTAAATTGCAAAATTCTATGTATGTTATATTTATACGTGCATTAACCTAATGGTTGCCTTAAACCATATTTTATCAGGCAATCCGAATATTTATGACATGGTTTACTTTTACAGTTTTTATCTGGCAAGCATGTATCGGATCTTCTACAAACATGAAAAATTGAAAAAAAGTTTAGACATTTTAAATAAAACATAATTCCATAAATCGTAAACCTAAGAAGTATATGCGAAAATGTTTAGAGTAATAAAACGATAAAAACAAATAATATAACTAACACCACTAATAATAAATCTATATATTTGAATAGAATTTTTAATTCTCACAAATAATAATGAAAAAATCGATTACCATCATATTTATACCAAAAACAATTAATGAATGTTCATAAAAGAAAGTAAACTAAGCTAACTGAAATTATAACCTTAACTAAATACTTATGGCCCATTTCACCAACAACCCATAAACTACCACCTACGTATGGGATCCCTAGCATATAAGTCCCCTAAACTAGACCCTAAATTAAATTTCGCTTTACAATCGTCTTTAAGCCCATATTTCGAGCACCTAAATTTAGGGGGCCTTTTAATATTAAAGTGACCCCTAACTGTCGGTGAAACAGAAACTGTCCCCTAACAGCCCCTTAACCGCCCTTCATCCCCTGGCCGTCGAGGCGAGGGGCCACCTGAGGAGGGCCTTGCTCCAGGATAAACAGGTAAGTTTATTCTGAATCAAGGCCCACGCAGGCCTAGAGGGGAACGAGCGGGCCGACTTTTTGGCCAAGGAAGCCGCGCTAAAATTGAAGCACACCCCCGACTACGACAGCTACCCGGTTTCATTCATCAAGCGGAGCATTCGCATGCGATCGCTCGATGAATGGAACCAGCGATATCAAGACGGTGAGACGGCAAGTGTTACCAAGACGTTCTTCCCCGATGCGACAGCTGCGTACAGGATAATTGGCAAGATAGAGGTGGACAGGCTTGTCACCCAGATGTTGACGGGGCACGGCGGATTCTCCGAGAACTTGCATCGTTTCAAGTGCAAGGAGAGTCCGTCGTGCGTCTGCGACCCTGGGTGTCCAGAGTCTGCCGTCCACGTTCTTTTAGTGTCCGGTACACAACAGAGACAGATTTAACCTAGAAGCACAAATTGGACGAAAACTTGATAAAAATGCACTACCAAATTTTTTTAAAGATAATAAAAACAGAGACATTTTCCTGCAATACTGTAAAAAATTATGTAAAATTGTAAATAATAGGAATAAGAGCTAGTAAAAATATGTTAAACAAATATAATGTATACTACATTATATTTGTTTAACATATTTTTTAGTAGTAACATATATAATGTATATAGTGTATAAGTAGGATTAGTCTAAAAATCAGAGTTTATCTAAATTAAGCCTTAAACTGTAAATAAAAATTACCTATTATCCCCACTTATTATCCCTGAGTTAATATAGTATATGAAATAAAGAAAATAAAATAGATAACTTATGAACGAATGCGGACGAATGACAGAAAGACATAGTATGCGGAATGAAAGTGCGAGAGGCATAAAAGCGAGAACTGGTATGAATGAACTAGAAAATACAGACTCCTTCCCCCATGTTGGAGGTTTAGAATTAAAAAAAAAACAGCCCCCTATCCAGGCTTAGGGGATCCCTTAAACTTAGGTGACGTTGATGAAATCGGGCATTAGTCTTCTTAAGTCTGTATTTAAAGTTTACACACATGAAATAAAAAATATATAAATGAAGATGCCACTTAGTATGAAAATCTGACGTGGCCATGTAAATATTAATATATATTTTTAGATTTTAAATCGATATAATTGAATCGTATTTGCTGTTGAGTTTTTATTTTTTAGTCTCATGTTTTAAAACGAAAATCACGAATCAATTTCCGATCATTCAGATGTTTTTCCAAATTTTAGGAAAACACTAAAGGAATATTTTTATATATATTTTATTTTTTTCTATTTGTTCCTTTCCCCCAAAACTTAACTAAATTGGTGTTCTATAAACTCGGACTTAAAACAACAACTACTACTACTAGTTAGTTTTCTTAAGTTGTAGTTTGTAATTAATTTTCTACCGCACACTCAGGAACATGTTGATGTTAAATATTTTTAGCAGATAATATAAGCTTTTTGGGTTTTCGGTGAATATACGAAAGAAATACCGAGTGTTAAAAAGTTTTTAAAGTAAATTATCTAAATCAAAGTTCGCCATATTGTTAGCCTCTTGTGACCACGCTGCATATCTTGAATTATCTATTTCAGGCGCATGTCTGTTACTTGAAAGTAACGTGTGGTTTCGTCCTCCAATGGAAGCTTTACATTCATTACATTTGCCTACTTCCATCGCTCCTCCACACCTATCAATGTGATAGAAATGGCCGTTCGGGCACTTATACCATGACCCTGCTTTAGCTCCAATCGCTCTAATAATTAAGTCTATTTCTTGTTTTGTAATAATCCCGGTGAGTTTTACAACTTTTTGCATATTCTTCAAAGATTCAACAGCAATATCTTCATTGAATTTGCCCCACCCCAAAATGGCCTGATGCGCGGTCTGCATTGCCTTTTGTACATCGGCATTAGTCTTATTAATTATATATGTAGGGTGGCTAAGAATTTTAGAAAATTGAACAATTGAGTTCATACGTTTTATTTCATTCGATATGTCTTCCTGTTGCTGTTGACTCAACTTTTGCACGTTATTGATAAGGACTTTGCATATTACAGAATTTTCTTCTATAAGATCGGTCTGCAGCTCGTTTAACTTAGCTGAAGTAAATTTATTATAAACTTCAGATAGCAATTCAAGTATATCAAGATATATGAAGTACAAATTTAGTTGCAACAATGAATTTTTTCTTTTTATGTTTGTATAGGGGAATATCTTATCATGAGCCTTTTTCCAGTCCGAGAATAATATATCTGAAAAAAAAAAACTTTATTGTAATTACGAGTAGCTTTCAAAATGTACTCAAATCAATTAGAACATAAAAAAAAATAGGTACTAAATGTTTTTATAAAATTTACGTAAGTTTGAATTTTGTCATGTGTAAAATTAGTACCATTTAGTGTCATCACTATGGATGTACTATAAAAACTAGTTATAAACTAAATTTAATAAATATAAATCTATACATATAATAAAATTGTAACGAAGTCGAATCTGTACATTAAATATTTTTTGGAAATTCTTATTGAAATAGACATTATTATCGATACAGAGTCCGAATCTATAGTTTTTAGAATTTTTGTCTGTCTGTCTGTCTTTCTGTTACCACATCACGAGAAAACCACTGGACAGATTTTGATGAAATTTGGTATGAGATAGCTGGTTATCCAGGTCAACATATAGGATAGTTTTTACCGCGGAAAAATATTTCATTTCTGAGAAAAAATACAAAAACTGCATTGTAAGAGTATATTAATACGTAAAACCTAAGAATCTGGTTTTTAGTCATCTGAACGCGGGCGGAGCCGCGGGCAATGCTAGTAAATAATAAATATATTGGGACATTAATACACAGCACCATCTAGCATAACTTTAAAGATATACGTTATACATATTATAAACATAAACACCCATGACTGGAGTACAAACATTCGTGATCAATGCTCATCACACATATGAATGCCTCCAGCGGGATTCGAACCCGCTACCGCTGGCACAGTAAGTAGGGTCACTACAAACCAAGTTAAACGTATCGTCAAATATAAAATAAATTAATATAGATATAATATTTTTTTACATTAAATAATTTTCAAATGAAGATACATAAGGGTAAAGTCAAGGGCAAATAAAAGATCATTCAATCGATTTTCAGATAATAATGCTGCCCCACACATGATAATGGCAAATTTAGGGCATAACACCTAAACAAAACATTTCTACCTTTGTATATAGCTGTTTTGCGGAGAGACAAGATCTTTTCAGTAAGCTGTAACTTGGTAGCTGCAATTTGTTTTTCAGTTCCAAAGACGCGTTCCTTTATTGGATTTATATCAGTCTTAAACTGTTCATTCACTTTATCTTTGTAGCGATGAGTGTTAATAATTGGCTTGCGACAAGTGGGACAGGCACGAAGTGAAATAGATTCACTTTCGCTGTTCATCAGAGTTTCTAAAGTTTCAAATTCCATTACGTGTCCACAGTCCTTTAAGACGACAAATCTGAAAATATAAAAATATTAAAAAATTAAGAATATTTTCTTATTGCAAGCTAGGTACAAACTTATAAGATTTTGGTAACTATAAGCTGTAACATTTTCGCTTTATATTATCTTCATTTCAATTTCTCCTATTTGCAATCAATGCTTTTAAGAAAATCCGATAAAATGTGTCATAATAGATGGATTGTATTATTCTTACTGAAAAATAAAATTTATTTAGGGGATATATGTATATCTTATAGCATAAATAAGCGTTTAATATACTCGTAATTCGCAATGTTAAAGCAGTGGTAGCCCAGTGGTAACGCCCTGGCTTGAGAAGCCGAGTGAAACGGGTTGAAATCCCGGGCCTCGTACCTGTGATATTTTCATGTTAATGCTAATTATTGCCACCAGTTTCACCACTTATCTTACGGCGAAGGAAAACATTCTTAGGAAACTTGCATACATGAGAGAAAGTTTTCGAAAGACATGTGAAGTCCGTCAATCCGCACTTGGCCAGCGTGGTGGACTATGGCCAGCAGTGGGACAGTAAACACAGACTGAATACTATTCGTAGAATTGGTATTTTTGTAGAAATCTTTCAGTTTAGTGAAAAGAGATAAAGGTATCTGTCACTTAACGCGTGCACTACTACTTTACTACAATAAATCATAAAAAAAGTAAAAAAAACAAGCTTATGACCAACTGTAACGTTTGAAATTAAACAGAGCCCTATGTTAAATATTATAATTGTGCCACTCTTCACAAGCTTCCAAAGTCGTCGTTTGAAGTTCTAAGTGTCTATGCTTCAAATCTCGCAAAATTTAATTTCCTCTGTCAGTTTGTTAATACGCCTTGTAGAAAGTCGTATTTTACAACCGATGTGGATATATATAGATAAACTTGGTAGGTATACAGGTTTTAGGTCTTTATAGATTTTTTTGTCGTCGGTGATTTTTGATTGGCGCGGTAATCCTTCCAAAAAGCGGGGGTTACTGGAAATCTGCGCCTTATGAGATCCGATTTCGATGTTTTTTTTAATTTGAAAGGTACTAATCTTAAGTTAGTCTTATAAGAATTTGGTGAAGATCTGATGAGGATCTTCAGCGTGACGAGCAGAATAGCTCCTCAAAATGCAGTCTGTGCTCACGAGGTCTACTGCTCGCAGAACTACTAATAAGTTACAAGTGACGCTAAAAAAAAAATATAAAACCGTACAGAGCGTCGTCGTCGAATTGATCCCCGAGGAAGTCGGTGGGGAACTGTTCGGGTCGGCAGACGTTGCAGATGTCGGGGCAGCGCTCGCCGCAGAGGCCGCGGCAGGCGTGGCCGCAGGCGAGGCGCGCGGCGCACGGCGCGCGGCACGCCGCCACCGAGCACGGCTGGCCGCAGCGCCGCGAGCAGCGCCCGTGCCTGCACGCACGCGTGCAAGGTTCCTGCGCGCAATTGACACATATCATCATTCATATTATGTCATCCGACTAACGAATAATATAGACGGTGTGCTGTAATACTAAACATGAAGCCGAACAATTATATTTTAAAATAATTTTTACAGATAAATGTTACTATAAAGTGCTACAATAAAGACTACACAACTTAAGCAACAACAAAATTATCAGCACCAAAAAAGTATAGGGTGGATAGACAACCAGCATTTTTGCGTATGTAGAGGGGGTGTAACAAATAAAGTGACTAAAGGCATTCTAAAGAAGATCTCCACCCCCTTTAAGTGTAAAAAATGTTGACTTCGCCCATAGACATAGAGAGTGGACTGAGTTTCTTTTTCAACCGTAAAATAAAGATAGTGGAAAAGCGCGACAGAGACAAAATGTACTAGCGGCCAGTCTTCTTTATTAATCGTATTGTACGTTATTAATAAAATGGGAACACGATAAATGGAGATAGGTATTTCTAACCATTTTTTTTTCTATCACACTGTTATATGTTTTTCATTCCATTTATAAATTCAAATTAAAATGAAACACAGGTATTGGCAGCATGGTCGTTCTCTCTCTTTCTAGAGAGTGGTCAATTTCATGAGAGTATTGCTCAGTCCATTCTCTACGTGCATTCGCCTAAGGACACCTTTCCCCTGTAAAAGCCAAGTCTTTACAAAGTAGACTGTAGTTGTGGTATAAATTGAACAGTCAAGAGGAACTGAAGCTTGTAGAATCGCAGAACACACCAGGGCAGTAAAAACAACGAAGCAAAGCGACCATCGCTCAACATTTCTTGGAAGGTGGACCTAACCACTGAATTCACTTACTTAACCTCCAGGTACTCTCGACAGGTACACAGTAACCCTATTATATAACCAGGCTAGTAAGAGAAGCAATTGAAATTACAAAATACAAGAATTTCAACCTGGGATGGGACGGGTTTCAATTGTCGAGTACTTGTAATCCAGTAGTTAAAATGTGTCAACCCCGTGAAAGTTCGCGAGTGGATACAGTGAGTTTTGTGTGTCAAGACTCGAATCGAGTTACAATCTACGTAATCAGATCTACGTAACTGTAGTAGTGGTAACGAATGTACAGAAATAACTAGGAAGAGAGTAGGCACAAGACAGATATGTCTGCCAAAAAAAAGTTTAACATCCACCCGCATAGTCATCAGTATACCCGTGACCATGGCACTTGTAACAGTGCCGAAATATCGGGAACTCTCAAAAGTAAGTAGATAAACATAGTAAATATATTTCTTTTTACATCATAATAATATTTTCAGTGACCATGCAAGTTTAAATACTTATATTGATATATTTTGTATCAAATCTCTAAAGCCACCTAGGGACTCATTCAAGCGAACCAAAAATAAGTCAGTAGTTAGAAAAAAATAAATGCAAGATGTTATAAGAAAATTTGTGAATAATTATCATAAACAGTCGGTCACCTGACACGGTATACAGGGCGCGCCGCAGCTGCGCGGACATCGCGAGTGCTCGCACTGAATCTCGCACTTCTTTTTGCACGGTGGACATACCTGGCTGCAAGGCTCCTCGCAGCTATAAACATATCAATTATTTTATTATTCCATTCATCAATATTTCTTAATTCTGTTTGCTCGTTACCGCTTCTGTGTTCGAAAGTTGCTAACATATACTATTGCAAATCCTGAGGCCATGGTTGAGATTCTCTGGCTAGTCATTACATTTTACAGAATAAAAACTCTCATAATCTACTAGCTAGCAGTTATTACATCAGCAGAAGCAGTTATAGGTCTACTACAACAGACTACAATAGACGCTAAACCAACGCAAGCGTTGAAATCCCAAAGACCTAAAATATATTTTTTTTGATCTACATAATATTCAATCTCTGGAATCCACCAAACTTAAAAAATGCTTATTTTATCTAAGGTAAATGTAATAGTAGCCACAGAAGAGTTCTACTATCGATTTATTATATAGCCGTCAGTCCGTAGATGTGAAATCTATACGATGGTATGATTAGTAGGTTAGTCTTAGATTTCAGGTTCCTAAAATTTCATTCGCAATTCCTCTTGTGTTGCAGACCTCTACGAGCGACCATAGCCATTTACCATTAGGTGGATCGTTTGCTCGTTTGTCCCTTTTTCTATAAAAATAGACTGGCCAGTGGGAGTTCGTTGAAAGGTTTTGTACTCACTCGTGTCCGCAGATATTGATTTGACTGCAACGGCGGGTGCAGGGCGCGTGCAGGCGGCCGCGGCGGCAGCGCGCGCAGTCGCCGGCGCACGCGTGCCCGCACGCCAGCTCGGCGCCGCACGCCGCCCGGCAGTGCTGCATCACCTCCAACGGCTTCAATAATCCTTCATAAACATGTTAAATACACTTATAGACAAACACTATGGCTTTGCTATTTTAAGCTCCTGAACTGTGTATAGTACTAAATATATCCATATGAATATATCTATATAGATAACAATAACATTAATAGTGGCAGGTTAAAACGTAATTAATACGTAAACTATAATGAAAATTTCATACTCACTTTGAGAATTTGCAGAATGAGCATTACAAGGAAGTTTTACTTTATGGCCACACGGAGAATCAAAAAGGTTAGGAATCAGTTCAGTGCATTTCTTTTCATCGCAGGGCTGATTACAAGGCTGGCGGCAGGGGTGACCACACGATAGTGTTCGTTCACACATTTTTGCACATAGCGCTTTGGTGGCTTGAATTCTACACTCCACTTTGATTTCATGTCCACATTCTGGGATCTTTTTCACTACCTAAGAAAAAGCAACAATTAATAAAAATTCTCAAATATCCCCAGACTATTTCCAAATTAATAATAGTAATTGGAAGATAATAAAATATATTCCAAATAAATAAAGATATGGGAGTGGTAGCCCCGTGGTATCGTGCTAGCTTGGAAAACCGAATTAACGGATTCAAAACCCGAATGTCTTACACCTGATATTTTCATCTTCAAAACATTTTCCAGTACAATTACCACTTGTTTTACGATGAAGGAAAACATCGTGAGGAAACCTGCATCGTGTACATGATATATGTGAGAGAACGACATCCCGCACTTGGCTAGTGTGGTAAACTATGGCCTGATTCCTCTCGTATCGGTGTCGTTCTAGCAGTGGGACGTTAAAAAGGGCCGAGTACATGCTATATACATTGCAATAGCAGTACATAATCTATACTATAACATACTATAATAAAACAGTAAATTAGCGAAACCTGTATATGAAATATTATTTAAAAATAATAACTGTAACGTATTAGGTATGTAAGCAATATACTCAGACCCCAAAAAATAGCTCTTAAAATATTTGTTTGTTTGTGTGTGCGCGTTACACGCTAAAAGTAATGAACCGATTTTAACTAAATTTTGGGTAGTGATAACTTATTACTCGGGTCAACATTTAGGATACCTTTTACTACATGAAAACTTTCCTTTCTCACGATAAAACACAATAACTGGGTCTATCGAGTCGTCTTTAGAAATATATGTTGCTAACGATGGCTAAACCTCAAAAGATACATCAAAACAATGAACTAGAAAATTGTAAGTCTTAAAAAGGCCTACAGAAAAGTTCGCAATAGTACATATCTACCTAAGACACACTCGCAATAACTATTTTTATTATATATTAAAGGCAATGTGGCGACTCACTGACTGACTTATCAACGGTCAGCTCTAGCCGATGATGATCCTCCCCAACGTGCGTTCACCTTGTCGTGGTGGGGGGCTCAGTAGTGCCCGGCAATCCAACCGGGCGCGAAGCTAAGAAACGCACAGAGAGGTTGCCCACTTCAGTGGGCGGTGGGAGGTGGCCCTCTTCGGGGGGCGGTGTACCATGCGGGTTGCTCCTGGTACTTCTCTGATAGCAGAGTGGACCGTGGAGCAACCCCATGGTTGTGGTGGTCTGCTTCGGCAGACCTGCCGTCGGGGCGTCGTAGGGGGGACTCACCGGCGTAATACAACCAGTACTACCCACGTAGTACTGGTTGTATTACGCCGGTGAGTCCCACACGTCGTGCGTAAATGCATTTCCCAACGTTAAAAAAAAAGAAAAAAGCCGATGATGATAGACCAGCACACAAAAATTTATATATCCATACAAATATTAAATGCGAAAGTAACTCTGTCTGTCCGTCATCTTTTCACACTTAATCCGCTGAACCGATTTAGATGCAATTTGGTATAGATATAGTTTGAAACCCGAGGAATGACATAGGCAAGTTTTCATCCCGGAAAACCTATAATATATAAGGGCTGAAAACGGGAGTGGAAGATCGAATGGCGAATCAATCATTTCTCAAGTAAGGGATATACATTTTATTATTTTTATAATACTTACCTACTTTCCTATACCTACGTATGTACATTGTACATATGTACATAGTCTATTCTATACTTATTGCTAAAACGTACCTAGGGACGAATCCAAGCGAAGCGAGGGTGAGTTGCTAGTAATATAATAAAAGGAAAAATGGAACAATTGTACTATTATTTCCTAATTTTAAAATAATATGATAGGATCCGGCCAATCTTTATTACTAATAAAGGTAGGTAAGTAGGTTTTTATTTTACTTTAATTTGATGAATCAAAATAACAAAATAAACAATAATTATATATCATAACATAAGAAGTATTAAGACCTTTTCATTGCAATCTCCACAGGTTTCGAAGCATTTTTTCTTGCAGAAATGCTCGCATTCAGCCAGCTTCCTCGCACATTTCTTAAGACAAGGCTTCTTATCTGGATTTTCGGAACAAGCCACACGCTCTTTGTGTTTGCATGATTCTCTTTTTTTTATAACCTATTAAAATAACAGTAAAACACAGTTTATCAGTAATATAAAAAAAATTGTTAAAGTGCATTTAATATTTGATTTAAATTTATTAGATGAACTGCTGGATAAAAATCTGCTAAATTCATTTAAACGTTCTCTTACGAAATATTAAAAGTCAGTTCCTTATACCCTTACTCCTACGTCCTTACTCTTTAGCCCAAGGTTTTTTGGATTGAGATGCTAGAAAAAAAATTTTTAAAACTTGGATAACTTACTTGAACATTGCAGTCATCGCATGTTTCATAACATCTTTTGTTGCACTGGTGATTCCCTAGTTCGTCTTCCGCATTCGCAGTGCATTTGTTTTTACGTTTTATGCAGGGTTTTTGGCATAGGTACTAAAATAATATTGTTATAGTTATTATAAGGAAAAAATAACTTAAGAATAAAATTTATTAAACAGTAGGTAAGTTTAATTCCAATTAAAGATAAATAAATTTTATTTAAAGCAAAGTAGTCACTTTTTCATGATCGGGGTCGTCGTTGACATGGCACTTGCGCACGCACATGTGTCCGCAGCGCTCCACGCGGAACTCGCACGGCACTGGACACGATACTTTGTTCATGTCTACGTAACAGGGCTTCTTTATCTGTTGCAAACGACATATAATGGTATTTTATTATAAAATATAAAAAGGTCTGAGCAAACTAGACAATGCATAACAAATTTATTATTAATATATATTTTTATTTACAGTACTTTTAAGTTTTGGCTAGTTATAGATTTTCACAATAACAGTTACATTAACATTAATTACAGTTTTGTTTCAGAATGTTATTGCATATATTTTTGTGTTTACCTCTTAAAACCTTCATTTTGACACCCCACTCGATAGGTTAGGAAGAAAAACTATTTTAAGACACAAATTGGCGCCTGGAATCTGCCATTTTGATTTTTAGTAATATACTTATAGCCTATAACACCTGCTTTTCAAGCCGAATTTAAGTACGTATAAATCATTAAAATCGGTTAAGCCGTTTAATAATTAGGAGAGAACATAGGCTCGCATATAGATACATACATAATATCTATAAATATACATACAGGGGTCAAACACATAATCCTCCTTTTTGCTTCGCTGCAGTTGGGTAAAAAGCTTTTATGTGTATACTGTATATTCTCATAAAATACAGTAATATTTATGTAAAAAGGAAATATTTACTATGTACTAGCATTGTCCACGGCTCCGCCCGCGCTCAAATGACAAATACCGAATTCCTAGGTTTTACATATTAGTATATACTCTTACATTGCAGTTTTTGTATTTTTTCTCAGAAATGAGACATTTTCCCGCGGTAAAAAGTATCCTCTATGTTGATCCGGATAACCATACCAAATTTCATCAAAATCCCTCCGGTGGTTTTTCTGTGATGCGGTAACAGACAAACAGACAAAAATTCTAAAAACTATAGATTCGGCCTCTGTATCGATAATAATGTTTATTTCAATAAGATTTCCCAAAAAATAGGCTACTATTTATCCCGGAAAAATGTACAGCTGCTGTGGGATAGATTTGGTTTCGTTTGTCTAGAGGCGAACTCGAGCGAAGCAAGGGTGAGCCGCTAGTTTGAAATATTAATAGCTTTTAATAAATAGTGAAAACCTCATGTCCACAACTAGGCAGCTTTGCTGAAACCAGGGTTAGGCACGTTATTGTTGCAGAATCCGGGTCCAGGTGACAGAACACATTCTTCTTGTGCCCACATGGCAATTTTTTCTCGACCAATCGCCTACATGGTTTACATGCTTCATGGCACTTTAATGGACATACATGAGAAAGATCACAGATAATCCTGAAAAAATAATAAATTTCAGGTATAACTCGCGTCATCTAAAAAGAACGCTGGCTGTCAAGCGGCGCAGAAGCGATTTATCGGTCAAATTGGTGGTAAGAAGCGGGGCGCGGGGCGGCGGGCCGCGGGGCGCGCGCCGCATGCTTGCCGGCGCGCTATTGGTTCGTCAGTACGAAATTCCATCGCGCACACAAAAGTTTTTAATTACGAAATGGTTTTATATATAGAAAAGAGAAAAATTGTTTTTGACGTATATTGTTTTATAAAGAGAGAGTCTAATAATAATGCAGTTAATCATAAAAAAAATGTATTAAACGTATTAAACTCAATGTTTTATTATTTATTCTGAAGAAAATCTGGTCTCTATTTTATTGTATACGTAATATATACATTAAAATTGTATATGTATTATAAGTCGAATATAGTATCGGAAAGTGAAGTAAATAGGAGTCTAATGGCCGATTTCACCAACGTCTCCTAAGGCTGAGGGGATTTACGGGGAAGGATTAGGGGATCCTAAGCATGGTTAGGGGGCTGTTAGGGGACAGTTTCTGATTCACCGACAGTTAGGGGTCATCTAAATGTTAAAATGCCACCTAAATATAGGTACTAGAAATACGGACTCTGACGATGGTAAAACGAAATTTAATTTAGGGGCTAGTTTAGGGGAACGTTTAAGCTAGGGATCCCATACGTAGGTGGTAGCTTATGGGATGTTGGTGAAATCGGACATAAATCTTATAGATAGGTAATTAATTGATTTCCAATTTAATTAAGTTGGGGTTGACAACCACTGCAGGTAGTATTCAAATGTCGGAAACAAAAACAAAAAATGAAATCGCAAAAAAATCCGAAAAGATAGTTTTATTTAAAATGTTGTTTCATTTAAATGAATTAGAGTTAAATGTAGCTATTAATAAATGTTAATTTTAGTTCTCACCTCTCACATTTAAATGGACATTTATATTTGGAATGCCCTCTGTCGTAGCCGTGACATACAAGTGGGCACAAGTGGAGGCATGGCAGGGTATAGTTACATTTTAAAAGACAGCCACCTTCGGGTACTTTTTCAAAGTCTACTGACGATGAAATCTGTTATAACCAAGTAATACTGGTCAAAATACATACATATATGTATAGTATATTAAAAGTAATTTCAAAAAAAAATACACATGAAAATTATGTGAATGTATTAGATACATAAGTAATGACACAGTTAAGTTCGTACTTATTCAGTAGATAAGATTTGAATTGGTATGATTAAATCTATTGTAACTTACATTTGTTATTTGACCAGCATGGTTTTCACATTTGAGTCGTATGCTTGATCCGAGAGCTCCTTGGTTCTCTAAGGTACCGGCGATTTTAGTCCACAGTTCTGAGTTTTTCTTTAACATATCGATGTTACCAAATATATAAAAGCCTACAAAAAGATAAAAAGAATTTCCTTAACTTTTATCCTTATTTTTTACTAGTTTTTGCTCACGGCTCTGACGTGGCAAGTAGATAACGCGAAATATTACACTTGAGCATTACGTATTTCCATTTTTAGGGCCATTCGTTGAACGATGAATGTACAGCACTGTTTAAGTGCAAGTAGCAGCAAAATGGATAGAATAAAAACTTTCTTCTAAAAATATTTATAAAAATAAATATAAATTTCAAAAGGAATCGGTAAAAGGTGATGAAAGGAATTTATAGAAATCTGTGATTTAACATTATCGACCGTTAACGTTTTTATTTACACATACATATGTATATGTAGATTAAAGCTCATTTTATAAATAAGTTTTTCTTAATTTAATTTTATAATTAACTAGCGACTCACCCTCGCTTCACTTTGGTTACGTACATACGGTACGTTTTAACGGTTAGTATAGACTTTTCAGAGATAAGATATTTTCCTGCAATAAAAAGTATCCTATACGTCCTGATTATCTGGGTCAACAACCCGGATAACCTATTATCATCATACCAAATTTCATGAAAATCTGTTCGGTGGTTTTATCGTGATGTTTCCCAGACTGACAAACAGACGAAAATTCTAAAAACTATAGATTCAGCCTCAGTATCGATAATAATAACTATATCAGATTTATCAAAAAATATTTAATGTGCAGATTGGACTCGTATTTCTAAGTGCCTCACAGTAACCCATTTGGAACTAACTCCAGGTCAAAGTCTGTCAGAGTATTATATTTCACCTAAATCCGTCCACCTGTTTCAACGTGAAGGAGTAATAAAAATACACAAACACATATATACACTTAAGCATTTATAATAGTAGACATACAGGTTAATAAAAAAAAAGAATAACAAAAGGAAACCTTCTCGAGCTCTGGATAGCGCAACACAAATACGATTTGGTGTCCCCAAAAATCCAATTTTATTTTGATCGTTATTCCTCACAAGGGATAGTAATATTATTTTCGACTCTTCGCCCTGATAGTTGTCAACTACCGTAATTTTTACTTTTGATAAAAACGCGTAGTTCGGCCTTTCCTGAAAAGGAATTTATATTAAACAACGAAAAGATTTTTAAAGATTAAATATTTTAATGTTAAAAACTTTCACACGTACCTACTCAAATTACGTAACAGTTTCTTTTACGACAGAGACGAGATGCCCTTTTTATCACAATTCACGACCGCCATTTGCCTTATTTAAATACCTTATGGATATTTTTGGCCTACCGTTTTCTTATTATTTTGTTTGTACCTACTTTACCTGTGTTCTAACTAGAAGCCACCTGACTTTACTTAGAATTTTTATTCAGTTATTTTACGACTTTAAGAACTAGGGAAAATTCGTAGTGGATTATGAAAAACTATGAACTACGCTGTATAAGTCTTTATTAAGTTATGACTAAAACTCAATCGCATAGTATAATAATTTGGACGAAGTATAGTAGAAGATGATGCAATGCAAGGTAGTATAGGGAAAATATTCGATATATTATAAGAATTATTTCGCCCCGGGAACATTATCTTTTCTCGAAAACACTAACTTGGTATTAGGGAGGACTTTTGGTGACTGAAATGTTTTTGATACTTAAAAGTCAGGTCAAAATTCTGCGGACCTCATGACGAGCGTGAATGATAACAATGGAAGCGAAAGTGATACGTAGTGAACGTAGCGCTTGTCACTCTGTTGTCTCTGCTATTCCCGCAAGGGATAAAGCGTGAATTTATGTACCTACATAAGCACGTAATAGGTATGTGTTCTTTTAGTCGATTTTTAAATGTTACGTACATTGCTATAATAAAATCGCTTCGGTATACCGTATAATTACAGAGTTTATGGAATAAAGTAAGCCAGTACAGCGACGAAGATACAATGCCAGGCACAGTTAGTCGTTCTATTGAATTTACTTGTTTTTTTCTATTATTTAAAATTTATTATGATATAATATTAGGTACAGTTTCATAATTTGAAAGTTTTTGATATTTTTTGCTGCCGTTCCACGAAAACATATAGTATTCAATAATAAATGAGATAATATCTACATTAGACTGCGTCAGAATAATTTTTTTTTAAGTAAGTACATCTAAAAATTTTCTTTGTTAGAAAAAAAACCTTCTAAAAGATGAGCTGGATATCTTGAAAATTGAGCTGGCGCACGTGGGGTCGCCTTTCCCATTCAAAATACATTGAAAAAAAAAAACTTTTTTCTTTATTTTCATTGTAAATCGTCTAAAAAATTTATTTTTCAAATTTCCCTTTTTGTTATCTTGTACGAAATTAAATTCTCTACAAAAAAGATCTCTTTCATTTTTTCGCTAAAACGCATAGGAAAAAAGTTACAAGGCTTTAAAAAACGAAAATTATAAATAATCATTTAACTTATTTTTATTTGTTTTCAACAACAAATTGCTTGCAAAAGCCATTTATTGTTTAAAAATATACATGTTCACGAAGCAATTCCACATAATCCAAAATGAAGTCTTGAGATTACGAAAAGTATGTTTATTTATTGTAAAAATCTATCTGTGTAATCTGACGCAGTCTAATCTAAATATTATATAATTATATATTTTTTATAATAAAGAATTAGAGAGAGAGAGAAGATTTATGATCTAGTTATGACCGTTTACACAGAAACTACCCATAAGTAACTACGGGCTATTTAGTAGGTATTTACTCAAACTCAAAACATTCTTTAAACCAAACAACGGGTAGAAGACATAAACGTTCTAAACAGTATAAATCCCCTGTAATAACTTAATCCCTCAACGACCGGGCACATCGGTGTTACAGTTAAAAATTAATTTCTTAGTTTACCTGGAGGAGTTAATAGTTTAATGTATTTACTCACTTTTCTCATATAAAACATTTGGCCAGAATACGCCGCTAAAATTGTGACATCTTCAGGTTCGTAACCTTGCTGCATTATGTAGTTTGCCAAACGAAGAATGAGATCTCCTTCTTTTTGGTTTGTTTTACTAGTACCGTCTTCTACATACTATAGAAAATAAATATTTGATACAAATTACATTATAAACTGATTAGTTAGTACAAGTCTATATTACAATTACCTAGATTTAATTTGACTTTTACATTCCGATAATATGAACTTTTCTTAATATCATGTGTATCAAGAATACACAAGCTCATTTATAATTGTTTTTTTTTTTACTTTTATGGAATGCATAAAAATCTTATTAATAAGTTATATAACAATATTACCTAAATCCTAATTAACGACTTATCGTTACTTCGCTGGTGTGCGAGAAGCAATAGCCGATAAACTCAACAGCCATTTTGTGCAGACTTTTTTGACAGTAAACCATTGATATACAATAAGTAGAATCCATATGCAGTAAAGCTATATTTTCGGAATAAAAATCGCTAAAAGCACTTGGCGGTAACATAACTTCCTATTAGTGAAAGTATTTTCAGAATCGGATCAGTAGTTTCAGAGATTACACTCTATATACAAACTTACAGACTTTACCTACCACTTTATAATATTCGTTTTGACGACACGTTTGTATCACTTTGTAATGACCTTACTTGGTGTGTCAGCGGTCGCGGGTTCGAGTCTTGCAGGGGGCATTGATTTGTGTGATGAGCACGAATGTTTGTACGCCAGTCATCGGTGTTTTATAATAAGTATGTATTTAAAGTTATATATGTGTAGTGTATGAACTATCTGGTATCCATAACACAAGCCTCGTAGCTTACCATGGAACTAGATGGTGCTGTGTGTTAATGTCCCAATATATTTTATTTAGTGTAAACGGATATTTTTGACATACCTCTTCTTTGTAAGTGTGAGTGAAGAAGAAAAGATTAGCTGTGATGCCGCGTACGTCGGGGAAATGGTTTACCGACGGGTGATTAATCAAATCCGGGTAAATGTGTGGGGAGATCAGCGCCGCGATCTGAGGGCGCATGCGGTGTTGCACCGCGAGGCGCCGGCTGTGCATGGAGTTCATTATCATACGCTCGAACAATGATACTTCTATATTAAAAGCCTTTGCTAAACGCATGTATGCCGCCGACGGTCTAAGCTGCTGATGATCCCCTTAAAATGTTTGAAGTTTTTAGCATTTACGTCGAAAATTGATGATGGCATAGTCGATTCAATGATAATATTCTATTTAATCAAAAAAGTCCATCGTAATTGTGAAAAAATATACCTAAACATTATTTAATAAACTATATATTTCTATACTAGCGACTCACCCTCGCTTCGCTCGGGTTCGTCCCTAGGTTGATTCCCCATACGAACTTTCATCCCCATTTTCACCCCCTTACGAGATGATTTCCGAGATAAAAAGTATTATATGTCCTTCCCAGGGTCTCAAATCTTATTATTAAATATCACCTAAATCGGTTCAGTAGATCCAGATATTACCCCCTACAACGTCACAAACTCACACTAACTCACAATTCACAAACTTTACCTCTTTATAATACTAGTATAGATTAAACAATAGTTTACATTTTACGAAAAATATGATTATATCTATATAAGTAAATTTAGTAAAAGAAACACTTTACAACTATATCTCGAGTGGAAATGGAATGGAGTATTAAAAAGTACTTTTCTTACAATGCCTGTGCCATTATGAGAGTAAGCTGTCAAATTTTAGTACTTTAGCTCCAGATTGATATTTGGTTTACACTCTAGGCGAACCCGGCATATGGCGAGGTTTTATTATATTAGTATATAATATCTATAAATAAAAGTCTATAATTTTAAATTTATATGTAATATATATAAGGCAACTGTTGGCCAGTATTGAAAAAGACCTATTTGCGTTCAGACTTACCTATTAGAATTACATGTTGACAGTTTTTTGTAAGAGACGTAACAATGTGCTGTTCCAACACTTCTGCAGCCTCCTCCACAATAACTGTAAATTTATTATAAGTACATTCTATATATGTATATAATATTTGCGTTTAGTGGAAACAGTGGTAGCCCGCCCACACTGAACGTGTATGCCAAATTCCAGCTGAATCGGCTGAGAATAACTAGTCTAAAGTTCAGTTGCAAGATTTGTCCCCACATACTAACAGGGCAAGTTAAATAAAAGCTTTTAATATACAATAAAGATGATAATCTTTACCAATAGGAGGGGCTAAAGCCTGAAGTAATTTTCTCAGCCTAGCAGCCCCACTGGTAGTCATACCCACGACTTTTATATTTTTCAACAACTCTATATCCATAATCATTCTAGCCTCTTCATATGCTGAATTAGCAGTTGCCAGGGCTTCCTAAAATATAAATAATATATTAATTCTAGATACAATACATACAATAATAATAAACATATTAACCAATTATAAATACTTAACTAATTATAAATACGACTCGGGCTGAAAGTCTCCCTTTCTTTAATGGGGACTCGACACTTAACAAACTAGCGCTCTTTGCTCATCCAAATTCGAACAACATTATTTATATTATATTCATAAATTGTAACTATCGTACTGTACAATTCCAACGGCAAAGTAAAAAGTACAATGTACGATTACATACACTACTGCCTAAACACATAAGTGGCTATGTGGACTTGGCACCCGACTTTGGAAAAATGGTTCTTTTTTAGGTTTATTTGAACGATTTCGGTTAGTAGTTGATAGTAGTGAAGCTAACTTCGTTTGTAGTAGTGCCAAAAAAAAATACAGACAACAAAAAAAATGTCATCCCCCGAAGTTGGTAAAAAAAATTTTTTCCGCTTGATTCGTATAGTAAAACGTTAGTAGTGGTTTGTAGTGCAATTTTTTTCGTTTGTAGTAAAACAAAAAAAAAATTTTTTTTTTCGAGTATTTTTGCAGAACGATTTTTACTAAATACATTCATTATTTCGTTTGCAGTACCATTATTTCATTTGTAGTAACGTTAATTTTGGTTTGTAGTACCATTACTTCGTTTGTAGTACCATTACTTCGTTTGAAGTAACGTTAATTTCGTTTGTAGTAATGTTAATTTCGTTTGCAGTACCACTATTTCGTTTGTAGTACCATCATTTCGATTGTAGCTGTTTGTAGTAACGTTAATTTCGTTTGTAGTACCATTATTTCGTTTGTAGTTGTTTGTAGTAACGTTAATTTCGTTTGTAGTACCATTATTTTGTTTGTAGTCGTTTAAAGTAACCTTAATTTAGTTTGTAGTACCATTATTTCGTTTGTAGTACCATTATTTTATTTGTAATGGTTTCTAGTAACGTTAATTTCGTTTGTAGTACCATTATTTTACTTGTAATGGTTTGTAGTAACGTTAATTTTGTTCGTAGTACCATTATTTCGTTTGTAGTACCATTATTTCGTTCGTAGTACCATTACTTCGTTTGTAGTACCATCATTTCGATTGTAGCTGTTTGTAGTAACGTTAATTTCGTTTGTAATACCATTATTTCGTTTGTAGTTTTTTGTAGTAACGTTAATTTTATTTGTAGTACCATTGTTTCGTTTGTAGTAACGTAAATTTCGTTTGTAGTACCATTATTTCGTTTGTAATTGTTTGTAGTAACGTTAATTTCGTTTGTAGTACCATTATTTCGTTTGTAGTTGTTTGTAGTAACGTTAATTTCGTTTGTAATACCATTATTTCGTTTGTAGTTTTTTGTAGTAACGTTAATTTTGTTTGTAGTACCATTGTTTCGTTTGTAGTAACGTAAATTTCGTTTGTAGTACCATTATTTCGTTTGTAGCTGTTTGTAGTAACGTTAATTTCGTTTGTAGTACCATTATTTCGTTTGTAGTTGTTTGTAGTAACGTTAATTTTGTTTGTAGTACCATTGTTTCGTTTGTAGTAACGTTAATTTCGTTTGTAGTACCATTATTTCGTTTGTAGATGTTTGTAGTAACGTTAATTTCGTTTGTAGTACCATTATTTTGTTTGTAGTTGTTTAAAGTAACCTTAATTTCGTTTGTAGTACCATTATTTCATTTTTAGTTCTTTGTAGTAACCTTAATTTCGTTTGTAGTACCATTATTTTGTTTGTAGTTGTTTCTAGTAACATTAATTTCGTTTGTAGTACCATTATTTTGTTTGTAGTTGTTTCTAGTAACATTAATTTCGTTTGTAGTACCATTCTTTCGTTTCTAGTACCATTATTTCGCTTGTAATGGTTTGTAGTAACGTTAATTTCGTTTGTAGTACCATTATTACAAACGACAACAACGAAATAATGGTACTACAAACGAAATAATGGTATTACAAACGAAACAATGGTACTACAAACGAAATTAACGTTACTACAAACAACTACAAACGAAATAATGGTACTACAAACGAAATTAACGTTACTAAAAACGAAACAAAGGTACTACAAATAAAATTAACATTACTACAAACAACTACAAACGAAATAATGGTACTACAAACGAAATTAACGTTACTACAAACAACTACAAACGAAATAATGGTACTACAAACGAAATTAACGTTACTAAAAACAACTACAAACGAAATAATGGTACTACAAACGAAATTAACGTTACTACAAACAACTACAAACGAAATAATGGTACTACAAACGAAATTAACGTTACTACAAACAGCTACAATCGAAATGATGGTACTACAAACGAAATAATGGTACTACAAACGAAACAATGGTACTACAAACGTAACAATGGTACTACAAACGAAATTTACGTTACTACAAACGAAATAATGGTACTACAAACGAAGTAATGGTACTACAAACGAAATTAACGTTACTTCAAACGAAGTAATGGTACTACAAACCAAAATTAACGTTACTACGAATGAAATAATGGTACTACAAACGAAACAATGAATGTATGTAGTAAAAATCGTTCTGCAAAAATACTCGAAAAAAAAATTATTTTTTTTTGTTTTACTACAAACGAAAAAAATTGCACTACAAACCACTACTAACGTTTTTCTATACGAATCAAGCGGAAAATTTTTTTTTTACCAACTTTGGGGGTGAAATTTTTTTTGTTGTCTGTATTTTTTTTTTGGCACTACTACAAACGAAATTAGCTTCACTACTATCTACTACTAACCGAAATCGTTCAAATAAACCTAAAAAAGAACAATTTTTCCAAAGTCGGGTGCCAAGTTCACATAGCCCACATAAGTCATTACATCAAAAGCTATACAGTTACTAGCGACTCACCCTCGCTCCGTTCGGGTTCGTCTCTAGTGAAAAAGGTTTGTATGTAAATACATAATGCCTAATCATAAAAAAATTAAAATTATATTTTTTTAACAAAAATAAACATTTTGGAGTGGACCACCCTTATTACTTAGGGGTATGAAAAATAGTTTACGTCCTATTCTCAGACCTACTGAATAGACACACAAAATTTCATAAGAATCGGTCGAGCCGTTTTGCAGGAGTTTTGTTACAAACACGATGACACGAGAATTTTATATATTAGATTTATGTCGTTCCTTAGTAGCTTGACATCAGACGTAGGGTTTATATTAAGTTTGACGGGTATTTTCATTTTATTAATTTGTTTAAAGCATGGTAAACTATTTTAAATAAGGTTTGTCCACGTGGTAACATTGCAATGCTTTCACTTCTAAACTATTCGTCATAAAAACTGCAATTTTTTTAACAACACTTGTAGCATTTTTAGATCTTAGGCTATCCCTGTAAGAAGCCATTATGAATATTCGGGATAACTATATACCCCATAACACACAACGTGTTATAAAGACGAATCTTACGACGTATGAATAATCAAAATCGGTTAAGCTGCTTAGTAATTACAAGGGAACATAGGTTCGGACATACATACATACGTAGATACACGTCAAACACAACTTTTCCTTTGGGCTTCGCTTCAGTCGGGTAAAAAGAAGAACTATGATTTTTGTGGATATTTTCTGGGGCGTTAGGACCTCATCAAGTAGCTCAGCGGGTAAATAGCATAAATAATTTCCTAAGTGATAAGACAAAAAAGACAAATATGAATGAATCCCATACCTTTAATGGTTTGATTTCGTCTTTGAGGCCATTTATTACAAATTTTGTCCAACTGAAATACAACATCCAACGATCGACTTGTGGTAAATTTGAGAAATTTTCTATATTAGCTGGATATTCTCGGTGCTCTAGAAGGTAGAGACTTTTCATTTGCTGTAAAAATAAAAAAATATTCATCTATACATAAAATAAAATAGTAAAGAAGATTTTTTTAAGCAATGACTGTTACCTATTGTGTACAGAATATACCTAACTAATAACCACAAAACCATAGTTGTTAAATTTTTGCCTTTACATCTGTGTGCATTTCACGCAAAAAGTACTGAATCGATTATAACTAAATTTTAACATTATAAACATTGAGGATACCTTTTGCTACAGGAAAATCTTTCATACCTACAATAAAACACAATAAATGTTTCTATCGAGTCGTCCTTGATTTATATGGCTAACGCTAGCTAAATCTTAAATGATAAATTAAAACAATGTTTTAGAAAGTTATAGATCTTAAAAATGCTTACAGAAAACTCTGCCATGGCATAGGTATTTTCTAAGGTACACACGCAATAATTTTTTTTATCTATTATTTATTTTTTTTATTTATTTTTATCCATTTCAAACGTACCTATCTAGGTATGAACCCAAGCGAAGCGAGGGTAAGTCGTCATAACATAAAAGTAATAACAGGGTGATCAATTAACATATTTTACAATTTAGTGCTGTAAGACCTCTCATTTTAATGGGAAAACGCAAAAATTAGTTCGAGCACCACGCTCATTTATATTCTATGCCATACCTAGTACCTACTCGTAATAAACAAAGACGATATCTGCCTCTGCCTGCTTCTCCGCTTACTTCGAGTCGTGGCTTAAAACCACACAACGGATGTTGATACAGTTTTTATTAATAGAAAGAGCGATAACTTATATGCAGGGCTAGAAAACCCTTTCAATTTTTAAACTGGTTTTGGTCACTGACCCCAAACCCAAAGGCTTTTCGGTTCAAGGTTTCGGTTACGTTATTTAACGGGCTAAAACCCAGGAAACGGTTTTTAACGAATTTAGGTTCAATAATCAAAATTAACCGGTTAAAATGAGTTTTTGTTATGTTTACATTTAGCGAATCTGCTAATGGTGAAATGATTACAATTAGTAGGATACACATTATGTATAAGTTTCTTACTAATACAGGAATAAATCGGTTTATTTCTGTATCAAAACCTAAATCTAACCTTTCTTTAAGAATAACCGTTAACCATTATTTCGGTTTACTAAACCGTTCGTTTTTATTAGGCGGTTAATGAACGAGGGATCAATATAATCGAGCGACCATTATATTACCGAAATTAGGCGTTTTTTTTCTAAACGTACGTATGGCTTAATTTAAATCAAAACTGCCCTTTACGCCATTTAAATTAGATGAATATTTTTATAGACATCACAGAATTAAATAACTCGCGAAACATAATATTATGGTAACGACGACGACAGGGGGTAGTGGCGGACGAGGGCGAGGAGGTCCTAGCATGTCGCCCACCGATTGGTTACAACAATTGTTGTATGCATAATTATTTTGTTGTAAAAAGTAATTTTTGATCCATGTTGTTTGCATTGTTTTGTGCAATTAGGTGATGGCATAGGTATATCTTTTCTTTTGAGTGTTGCCTAATTAGGTACTAAGGTAGTCAAAAATTCAGATTTTTTTTTGCAATTGCATTAGTTTCGTTTCACGTAGTCAATCATTTTAAAGTTACAGTTAGATTTTTTGTAATTTACACAACATTCCTGTACTTTTATTTGAGTGAATTTTATCGGAAGTATGTAATATGGTTTGTTTTATAAATGTACTACGCAATTATTCACACCTAGTGATGCAGCCGAGCGAAGCGAGGGTAAGTCGCTAGTTTATTATGTAAAAGGTCAACTTTTATTCTATTCTGATATTTTTACGCTTTTAAGTGACAATAATTTATTATTTTGGTGCAATAATGCAGACAGATTTTATTTTAAAAATTAAATTAAACATATAAAATAATAAAAATGTAATTCTGCGCAAATTTCTTTTTTTTTCAAAATCGTATTCATAAGTCCGCGGTTTTGTTATTCCCTATAGTTTTCACACCTTCATAAATAATTAAATCAGTACATGAACAGACTGTGACAACTTACGTTAAACAATCTTATTCGTCCCCTAAGAACAGCGATTTCTAAACGTAGGTCATGCTTTTCCTTTGGATCGTTACTGCGAATGTAACACGGAATCAAACGTTTTAATTTCCCTTCAGCTTCTTTGATTGAAAATGCTTCAGTATAATCCCCTTCGACATCCTCGTCAAAGTTTATTTCTAAATCATCTAATAATACTGGAGCTTGATTATCACCATCATCGTCTATATTTAAATTAATATTTTCTACGTTTTCAACATTTTGTGATTGATCAAGTAAAATTGGTTCGTCGAGGTCATATTCTAAATATTCGAATAACCAATAACATAAAGGGTCTTTTCCACTTTGAATGATTCTTTTATATTTATCAGCAATTTCACTAAGTTGCGGAACATATCTTTTCATACAACTGTAACTCAAAATATAATGGAGAATGGAATCCATTTGTTCTTGAGCTCTTTGTAGTTGTAATACCAAATTCCTTAAATTTTGCCTTTCTTCCATATATAGCCTGGACGTTGCTCGGGGTAGTACATTGTTTTTTCTTAAAGTGTTTAAATTATATTTTTCCATTACTTCATTCTTAGATTGACCTCCAATGCGAACAATAGAGTTAGTTTTTTTTGATATTTCTTCCAAGAATTGATCTAAGGCGTGATTCGTGTAACATACAAGTAGAAGCGTACATCCGACACGAGATATGCTCTCCAGTAATGTTTTGGCTACTTTTACTCCTAAATAGGTTTTTCCTGTTCCTGGAGGCCCCTGGATTACCGCAAACTCGTGAGTTAGAGCCGTTTTGTAAGCTTCATACTGACTGTCATTTAATTCCAATTCATTACTTGTAGGCCATGTAGTTAAGTCCTTTACTGTGAACGAAACTGGCTCGTGCAATAAATCTAATGATAGTCTATCCGTCCGGAATATCGTATCTTCATTTACATACGAGGGATAAGTAGGTTCTGGCTGTAAAAATATAAAAAAAATGTAAGCAATTTATTTCTTAAATTACAGTTTGTACATAGATAATTAATATATAAGCTCATCTTACGTCCACATCAACTATGTATTTCTTCATAGCAATATGTTGCGGAAAGGTAGGATCTTGCAAAGCCTTAAGAACATGATGATATGGTTCATAATATACGTCACTTTCAATCATAGTATAACGATCACCGTTGTATAATTCTTCTCCAATAACTATGTCCACAATCGATATCGGTATCTACAAATGATTAGAAAAATGTTATTATTGTTGTTATAAATGCTATTTAAATTATTCAGTCCTTTTTACACAACTGCAGCAAAGCCCAAAAGAGGGTTATGTGTTTGACATGTACGTATATGTATGTTTTTCCAACCCTATGTTCCCTTAATGATTTATACGTCGTTACTAGATTGATCTTAATAACGCGACATGTCATAGAGTATATAAATATCATTAAAAATCAATATGAAGGATGAGGAAGAATAGAAGGATTGAATAAATTTTCTTTCGAATCCGGTTTTTAAGAGGCGATTACAAAAATATACACAACTTATAAGTTTAAAGATAGTTGAGGACAAGAAATTGTTCAATAAAACTAAAAATATTTAACTGACAAGAACTCAAAAGCTGTTAATAAAAAAAAATAATTTACAAAAATAAAATAAATCGACTGCGCAAAAATCGAACTAAAAAGATGAGAATGTCTATACTGTATGTCTCCAATTATATAATAGATTCTTCGTCAACTTTTTTTCGTGTTTTTAATTCGGTTTTTGCGTAGTCGGGTTTTTTATTTTTGGATTTAAGCATTACCTTTCCATCGTTTAAATACTTCTCATCTCTATCCAATATCGTTCCCACAATAAATGAATTGCAATTATCTTTTGTTAATAATACTAGCGAGCCAAAAATAAATCTCTTGTTATGAGACCATCTAATTTTTTTAAATTTTTTTTTAGTACTTTCGTCAAGCTCTATAATTGAGCCAATTTTCTGTTTTGAAACGTAAGGCCCTACGAAAGTCACGTTACGAAACACCCTGAAATGATAGTACAAAATATGAATGAGAATATTTGTGGTATTGCTTTAATCGGCATGCAGAGGTAACAGCCTCCTCTCTTTGCTCACTAAGCTTTTGCTTTTGTGTTTCGTTTGTAGCACTAACATGATTACGAGCACAACGTGATTACGAGGATGATAGGTTAGTAATTCGAATAAGAAAACAAAAAAAAACGACAGCGCTTAAAGCCGTATATTCTTAAAGAGTATCTATATACATGAGAAATATATCAAGTACCTACTGTCGGATATTTAAAAAAGTATCAATCAATCATCAATATACAATAAAATAATATACAATTTTCTTATTATATTTATTGTTAACATATGAATGTTGTTTCGTCTACGTGTGTACAATCATAAAACCCTTCAAAGTTTTAGGTTTATTCGAGAAATCGCGAGAAATCGTAACGTATATATATGTATGTCTATGTAAAACGTACCTAGCGATGAACCCGAGCGAAGCGAGGGTGAGCCGCTAGTATATTTATATAATTTTTTTTTTTTTTTCTATCAAGTTAATTTGACTAAAATAAGCTTTCTACGGGAAAGATATTATAAAGCACAAGACGTGTACCTAATACTTAGGCTTATGGAAGCGCTCTCTCTGTATTTTCTCTATATTACGAGTATGGTACGATGAGTAAACAATGCGATACGACTGTTCGTATTATATCGTTCGTAGAGATTATGCAAAACAACGACAGTTTTTAGCGCTTTCTGAGAAAGCTTTCTTTTTGAGTGAAAGGTATTATTATATTAAAGGTATTATTTCCCAACCTCGAACTACTATGGATGTTAGTATAATCCCATAATAGAAATCAAAATATGTTATAGGATAAAAAGCGAAATTATTACATTATTTCACAATAGACATTATATATAATTAAATTTATATCTAATTTACCTTATATTATCATATTTATGTTTTGTGGGGTGTTGTATATATTGAACTGCAACAATGAATAATATGTTAAAGCAAGGTAGGTAAAAATGAAATACATGCATTTAGTATTATATTATGAAACTATATCTAAGATATAGTCTCAATTATATCAACCTATGTAAATTAAGGTTTGATCACATACAAAATATTATTTTTATAATTATAATTCATTATATTCGATTTTATCAAAACTTCAAGATTCAGTACCTACTATCTTTATTATTACGATTTCTTGTAATACTTACTTATTCCATCACGGAGAGGTCCAAAACAATCTTCTCGAAGTAACCTGAACTGTACGTCAAGATAGTGTTCTACATCTCGATAACAACCCTTTACAATATTAGCTCGAAGAAATGGCTGGGTGTTGATCAAATCTTCGCGTCTCGGTATTATACTTAGCTCCCTGAAATTTTCGGGAGGCTCGTGTTCCTCATTCGCATTGGGACGTTTGCGATTTTGTTTTTCAACCTATAATATAGACCAATAGTGAGAATTTTATTGTGTCCAAGATATTTTTTTATTTCATATGAAAGGATTCATCATTTGTAAGACATCGAACATTTTTTATGGAAACTCGCATCGCAAAACAACCGCCGTTTTTTTTTGTGAAAATCAATATGTATAGATAAAGAACCAACATACAAACAATATCAGCAGTTGGTGTGCATCCTACTGCGTCATGGTCAGAAGTTATTTACCATTTTTTTTTCACTTACTATTAGGAGTACCTGATAAGTAATTCGTCACATTAATATACTTAATGATTTTGAGATAAAAATTGTTTATTGGAAGACATACGTATCTGTCCTCTTATGAAATTGGGCAAATGACCCGTTTGCTTATGAAATTTGCGACTGCATTGCTTATGAAACCTTTAACTAATAACAATACTTTTCAGTTATTAACAGTAGGATGAAAAACAGACCAACAACCGCTGATCGCTAGCTAGGTTACGAAAAACTTATTGCAGTATACTAGTTTATTGGTAACTGATGATTATACATATGAAGTAAACATAACTATCAATGTTACTTTTACCATAGAATCAGGAAAAAATAATTTAATTACGTATCTATAGTTGGCATTATAATATTATTGTTCCAATTTACCTTATTATATACTATCTATACTATAATAAAATTGTAGAGGTCGAATGTCTGTCCATAGAAAAAAAATGCTAAAAACCGAGTCAGGGGGTTGTAAGAAGACAAATAGAACAAATTCAGATTTTTATCAATTTTTTTGTTTCTCTGTCTGTTTGTCTCTTTGTCCGGGTAATTTCCGAATCTATTGAACCGATTTAAATGAAATTTTGCATGGTGGTACCTTATATCCCGGGCAACATCTTAGATACTTTTTATCCCGGAAAATTAAATATTTCCCGTGGGATAGTTAAAAAACTATAATAACTTATACAACTTATGCATCTAATTTAGTAAAATTTAACATTCTAATACACCTTATATTGCCGGTCAAACAACAGGTTACTTTTCATCCGGTAAAATGAACGGATCCCGTGGGAACTAATAGATCTCTATTAGTGTTTTTCTAGAGGGGAACCAGAGCGAAGCGAGGGTGAGCCGCTAGTTTAATTTAAAAATCCACAACAAAAGAAAATGAAATAACGTTTTCTTAAATCAAACTTCCATAATTTTAAATCAGCCCTTAGTAAAATAATTGGTTTGTATTTACTGATTTTTTTTTTGCTTCTAAACGACACGATCACACATTCTCCTGTGCACTTATCATTTGGATTCAAAAAATATGTAATCTTAGAATTGAACATATAAAGTGTCGTATCAAATTGCAAAAAGTGTTAATAAATCGAACTAGACTCCTGACTGATTTTCTTTTACTGTGTAATTAAAGAAATTATTAATTAATTCATTAACTTCCTTCTGATCGATTTCGGCCAACGTGGCCAATCTCACTAAGACTAGCCATCTGCGCAAGAGATATTTTAGTGCATACTTGTGGACAAAAACACAGGAGCACTGTGCTATTCACTCTCATTTCCGGTGAGACCACAATTTGACACGACCAGAATGAGATCAGGCTCAGTGTACCATCCCAGTTAGAACAGTACAGTATAGTAGTTATTAGTTGTTTGGAGTGCACAAGATAAAATAGTTATAAGTTTAAAGTACTTTAATTACTGAAGTTACTCTATAATTTTGACGACTCTAACTGGCCACGTCTGTTCGGTTCAGTGTCTTTAAATGCACTCCTAATAAATGTGGCGATGCATCGTCTCGAATAGGTATCGCGCAAAGTAAGCTAAACTAAAAATCTACGTGAAACCGTACACTCACAATTGATTTCTCTACGAGCCCTCTAAAGCACGGTATACTGCCAACAACTTGTGAGCACTTTCGACATATTCGAGTTCCAGACGGAGATTTTCCTTAACAGAAAGTTCCAAGGACTAAGCTTTACTATAACTAGAACTCGAATCCAGAAGGGCAGCATAACAAATTTATAATTATCGAACGCATAAAAATGTCAAACATTAAGTTACATAAACATATGTAAATTATGTACTCACATTATTTTTTTCTTCTTCACAAGCCTTTAGCGTCTCTCGTAACTTGGTCAATTTGTACTGCTCTGCTTCAGGTAATTCAAAATTATGTCTATCTTTAAGTCCATCTAAGCAGCATTTCGAACTCGCCTCGATAAGAGATCTGCATTTGTTCAATGCTGTCGACGGAGATACTAAAGTGATACATTCACAAAACGTAATAAAATTCTTCCAAAATTCAGTTTCATTTTTCCAGTACAATTTGTTAGTTGCTTTATTTTCAGCATATGGAAGATCCATCAAATAGTTTCGCAAATATGCGATGAATGGTGAATTAGATATCTCCAAAAGAAACTTTAACTTTATTTGATCAAATGATGAATTACATATCTTCGATATCAGATTCATTATCAATATAAATACATCTGGACGATCAATAGGCGACTCTAAGAGATTAAAAAATGCTACTTTTTTTTGGTTCAAATTTGTAAGAATGTCTTTTGTATCTGAATTGGCTAATTGCTCCAACATTAGAAAGCCCATCTTGTTCCTATAATTTTGAGACTGATCTTCGTTTGTTCTATGGCCGGTGGGCCTCCTTGATCTTACATTCTTAATATTTCTAGGTGACGGTTGTGCGCCTGAATCTGAAATGATTTATGTATAGTTTAAATAAAATCAAAATCCGGGATTCGCGTTATTCTTAAATTCAATAACAATTTGAATAAATACTTCGAAAACATAATTTATTTATTTCAAATAGGTACTCTTGTTTAAGGCAACTTAATAAAATCATCATCCATAGCTTAACTACCAACGTAGTGACTAATTAGTAACAAAAAAAACTCATTGATTGCAATTTTACACTTCTTAGATGGTCCGTGGTGGTAAACTTCAATAAAAATGGGTGTTAAATACGTTTTACAATAACTTCGAGATAAATATCTATACAACCTGAATATATGTTATCACTAGCGACTCAACCTCGCTTTGCCCGTGTTCGTCCCTAGGTACGTTTTAACGGTTAGTATGTTATAGAGACTATATGCATATATATATATATATATATATATATATATATATATATATATATATATATATATACCTATTATATATAACCATAGGGATGAATTTCACATCCCTTAATTTAGAAATGCCTGATGCATTGTATGTGTATTGTGTATTTAGGGATGGTTTCCGGGAAACTATTCCTTCCCAGGGTCTTAAACAATCTTTATACAAACTTTCATCTGAATCAATTCAGCGGATTAAACGTGAAATGGTAACAAACAGACAGAGCTACTTTCACATTTATAATATTAAATATGGATTAGGAAATCAGAGTAGAGGACAAAGTTATGTAGTAATAAAAAATAAACAGTACCAGTGTTCCCTGAAGGATGAACAAACGATGGTTGCGCTTGAATGTTAAATTGTGACTCTTTCCTTTTATTGTTGTTTAAGTTGTTTGATCCTGCTTTAGACTGATGCCTATTACCACGTGGTGCATAATTTCTAAAGCGGGAAGAACCTTAAATTTTAAAATAAAATAAATTTATTATTTGATAACAGTAATTATCAACAGATCATACAAAGAAGGGTATTGTACTCTTAAATAATGTATCGCGTTTATCTCTGACTAACGGAATAAGTCTGAGTGCGTAGAAGATAGTGATTGGAGCCTGAAATAGTACATATAATAAATTATTAAGCTCCCCCTCGTATTGAAGGGAGGCCCGTGCCCAGCAGTAGGACATAAAAAAAGTAAAAAAAGGACTGAATGCATAATTAATTTCGCTTAGTTTAGTCTTAGTAATTAGTATTATCCGTTGTTAAATTGTTAAATCATTTTTTATACCATGTGTGATAAATAAGCATACAATCTGTCTAGTACTAAAAAAATAACCACACTAGACATGCACACTCGCTCATTAACATTACCTAAGACCTAAGAGAAAGAGGAATATATTTTGGTTCCATACGTCTTTTCTGCGCTTGCAACATAGATAGTAATAGATAATGGAGCAATTAAGTACATACCTGGTTGTTGATATTTTTCATCCATTTTCCGTCTCTTTGTGAACATCTGTAAAGTAAGAGAGTCTTGTATACTAACTGAAATTGGTGTAAAATAAACTGAATGCATGTTTAATTCTTAAACATACGTATCTATACATATAATAAAATTCTGAGTCGAATCTGTACAATAAATGTACTCAGCCCTTTTTAACGTCCCACTTTGCAATTAATTTGCAAAGGGGTTTTTAAATTTTTAATTTGTAATTATTAAGAATATTATGTAGATTTTGAGTTATTAAGGAATAAGGGATCAAAAGTGGCTCCAAATGGTTCGTGTAATATAACACACGGTTGCTGCGTCGCCAGTTCCTTTTTCTTGGCTTGACACACTACCGCAAGTCTTGATCCGAGCTCGAGAAGAATAATTCAAAGATATCATTGTCTTTACTGGCTCCCGCACTTCGCGCACGCTAAAACTACAAAAAAAAATCTTATGTCTGTAACAAGTAGATGTCTAAAACCTGAAGTCTCTGCCGTGACCATGATTGCTGTAAACAAAGCATTCTTCGAAACGTCGCGGTCGGGAATCAAAAATTAAAATCCGCGAAATAATCCGAAAAGATAATTTTATTTAAAAAAAATCTAAAAAGGTAGTTTCTTACAAACTTTCATCCCTTATTTTACCCCCATAAAGGATGATTTTCGAAAAATGCTATAACACGTATTTATCGTATATCTTTAAACGAGTAATTCTTGTATATAAATAAATGATATATATATATATATATATATATATATATATATATTATATATATATATATATATATATATATACATAATCTGAATCTCGGAAACGGCTCCAACGATTTTCATGATACTTAGTACACAGCGGGTTTCGGGGGCGATAAATCGATCTAGATTAGTCTTAAGTCTGAGAAAATGCGTGTTTTCGAGTTTTCTTTTGCATTATTCCACGCAAAATATGGTCGGTAATTTGCACGCTCTGGTGTAAGCATCGTGGTCAAGCGGCCATGGTGCAATATCAACCATCACAGGTGTCCAGGTTCGAAACTCGGTCGCACAAAGTTTTTATTTTCGTTTTTTTTTTAATTTATTCAAGTTTTTAGTTTAAAAAAAAAAAGAAAATTGTACTTTAGGCCAAAAACTCCGAGCGAAGCTCGGTAGCCCAGGTACTATAATTTATTTGAAGAGCATTAAGACCAAGTTTCAAGTAATTCTAATGATAATTTTTTTTATTGTATTATGACGTATTTTCCCGTAAGTAAGAGGTGTTCTCCCGCTGTAAAAAGTAGCCTATATCACTCTCCCGGAGTCGAGCCGTCCAACTCAATACCACAAAAAAAATCACGCCAATCCCTCACACTATTTCGACGTGAAAGGACAAACAAATAAACAACCACTTCCACATTTATAATAAACAAACTGACAAGTATGGGTTTTATCTCTCTTAGATATTGCAAACTTTTACCTGTTTTTGTTTTAAATAAATCATATAAAAAAAAAAAACAAAAAAAAAGTTTTATGCCAGGATTAAAAATTAAAATAACTTCAAAACTTTATAAATTGGCATTGTTATTCAGTAAGGTTCAAAATTAAATGCTTTAATGATACACATTAACATACAGACAAAAAAGGATAACGCCAGTAAACGTATTATTTTTACTAGTAAGTAGTAAGTAACAACGAGTGCGATAAAGTGTAACCCGAAACCGAATATTATGTACTATGTAGATACCTACTTAACATAATACTTAGATCATAGATGAGGTATATAAGCTTTATCCGATTTAATATGGTGTAATAACTGTTTATGGTTAATCTTATGGCATATTAAAATCAGAATAACAAAATATGTATAATTATTTTCACACATAGATTAAGGCTATAAGTAGGTACTAATATAATTAAACTAAGACTTACATGACCGATAAAATTCATCACTACTCCATATTTTTCTGTACCACCATCTCTTGCGATTATATTATTGAGAATAATCAAAATTATTGACCTACGAGTATATTATGTACTCGTATTAATTAACAAACACAACTATTAAAAAGTAGGTAGCAACTAGCAAGTAGCAAATATCAGTATGAAATAATAATTTCATTGATTAGTGAACCTGACTCAGAACTAGAAGTCAGAAAACTTAAAACAGAAACAGTTTTGTATTGCCCGCAGCAATCATTAATTCACCCTCATTTCCAATACTATTACAAAGAATTATAGCCATGCAAATATTTAAATTCTCGTTATAAAATATGTTATTATTTTTGGAAAAATATTATTATATTATTACCAAAATAAGTTGAATGATTTGAATATTTAAAAGGAAAAGAAGTTCTTCGTTAGTAAATATGAAGTAGGCAAGATATGTAAAGAGGTAATAAAATACGATATTTATAATATATAATTTGTCCATTAATGTAGTTCGTGAAAAATTGAAGTTTTAAAATTCATTTAATAAAATCAATTATCCGCCTGAACAGGGAAAATATGTAAGTAGTAGATACTGGCAACATTTTAGATCTAAATCCGGGGAATAACGTAATATTAAAGAGACACGTCTATTAATTATTATTATCGTTGATTCTAGATAACATATTTATAATAACAATAACTAGCATTGCCCGCGGCTCCGCCCGCGTTCAGATGACAAAAAACCAAATTCTAAGGTTTTATATATTAGTATACTCTTATGTACATAGTAGTTTTTGTATTTTTTCTCAAAAATGAGATATTTTCCCGCGGTAAAAAGTACCCTTTATGTTAACCTGGATAACCAGCTATCACTATACCAAATTTCAGCAATATTCCTCCAGTGATTTTTCTGTGATGCGGTAACAGACAGACAGACAGACAAAAATTCTAAAAACGATGATACTCTGTATCGATAATAATGTTTATTTCAATAAGATTTTCCAAAAAATATCTAATGTACAGATTCGGCTCAGTTACAATTTTATTATAATATGTATAGATATACTAATTTTTATGTGTCATCCATGATATTAATCTATAACCACAGATCATATAATACCTATAATAGACTAGTATTATTAATTTACCTAACCTCACACCTTAGTAATTTCTTTAAAAAATCCTATTGATATTAACGAAGATATAATGAAATACGCTTAAATATTTTAAGGAAATATTTAAACGGTAAAATATTGTTACCCATCAATACAAAAAAAAAAGATGGAAGCCTTTTATCGGATTAATGACGTGAATAATTATAATCAACATGAACTTTTTGTTTCATGTAGTAAGAAACATAAAGAAGAACAATAAAATCACGTCTAAATATTATACCTTTGGTTTTAGAAATATTTATGACTAAGAATCATTCTATTCCACTTCTTGAAAAAATAAAAACATTGTATTGTCTTCTTGTAAAAACATCCTTAAGAATTTAAAAAATTGGAGAAATCGATAAGTTTTACTTTGCATACTACATTTTTTTCAATTATCATTGAAGAAGTGTACTTTATTGACCAAATTTTTATAAACTGATTACTGCAACGTGTTTTTCAGGAAAAAAACGAAAAAAATGGTATCCTTAAGTTTTTGATTTGACATTGACACTTATTATTTATACAATGTCGCCGTAAATATTTCAACTTTGCAATTTGACGAGTCGTAAAAAAATAATAAAACGCCCACTTGAAGTTGGCGGTGATTTTCAGCCTCTCGAGACCATAAAACATACTTTTTTCGGAAATGGCTAAACATTACAATTTCATTTTTTTTATATGTGTATTTCGAATATTACATTCCCTTAGTTTCATGGAAATCAAAAGATTATTCTAGAAATTAAAAATAAACAAAGAAAAAGTTAAAATCTCGAGTTTTTTGCAAATATTTCGAAACTTTGAGGTTATTGTAAAGTGTTATTTATAAAAGTTGTAGATTTTTAGTTTTTACTAGACCAACAAATTTTGTAGAAAACATTTTTTGATAGAACATCACAGTAAGCCGGAAATTGAAAAAAAAAATATTTTTCTACTTTGCGTCCCCCCATTTCTCGGGGGTAGCTGGGCATAGGGGGCATTTTACGAGTTTCTATTTCTTATATACCTGCTAACATTTTAAAATCATAAAACTTCAGGTTTTGAATATTTTGTTCCCAAACCGGATTCCGACTGAACTATTACTGATGCATTCAAAATCTGTCATAAATTTTCTAAAGATATCTTTATGAACATACAACTGTTAGTGGAGTCCTTTTAGTGCCACCAATTTACCATTAACTAATGTCCCTACAAGTTAAAATTTTATTGATCTAGGAAAATCCATAAACAAAATACCATTTAAGGAACATATCATATATAAAAAACTCAGAATACTTATTCACAATTATAATTTAAAATATTATATTATATTTATAATTATTATCAAAGAGTTACAGATACAAGAAAATGTATTAAGTACATATTAAGCAAAATTGTATTTTGTATGAATTATGACTTGCCTTAATTTTCTTACTTATTACTTTTAATAACTTGACTGAAGTAATATCAAAAGGTTAATCAATCACAGTGCCCCATTATATGCTATGTGGAGTGCTCAGTGCATCCATGAATGAATGGCTTGTATCTTACCTGGTATTGTGTCCTGCTATAATTGAGTAAGTAATGTGTTTAAATAAGCGTTTTTATCTATGATTTTGAGTGAAGCTCTAAAGAATAAATTGGTCCTCTTTTATTTGCCTGAAGAATAAACATTTCTGGAACAAAGCTTCATATTCCCGCCGAGTTTCTTTTGCCAGTTCTTCTCAGGTCTGAGGCTTCTTTCCAAATTGGTGGTAGACTCAAGACGTTCAGTAAATAATTGTAATTATTTAATGTTAAATAAAATATTTTTAATTTGAACTACTCGGCGCACTTGGCGATTGAAAGCTAGAGCTTATGACGGGGCCCTACATATACATATAATGGACATTACTTGAGGTTTAGGGTCCCCTAGTGCTCGTGACAATTTGTGTCACCAGATAAGGGCAGCCCATAATGTGACGTCATCATAGTTACTAGCTGTGATCATAAGTGTTTAGGAATGTAATATATATTGTAAGAAATTCATGTGCACTCTGTTTAGCTCTTTTGTTTTGTTGATGAGCTTCAACATACAACTTACGTTGCTTGATGTATGTACCTATATGATACACTCGAATTACTCGTGACAATTTTTATGACCTAATTTATAAGCCAAAGGCAAACAGCTAAAGAAACTTCGTTCCTAGTTCGTGTCCAACAGGCCACCGTGGCCCGGCCACGAACACCATGGCATGAGTCTATATATGATAAAAATATCGTAAATTTTAAATTATATCGATAATTGATGAAGAGCTTTTCTTTTTACCAGACTGCGACGAAGCACAAAGGAGGGTTATGTTTGACCTGTATGTATGTATGTGAAACCCTATGTTTTCTCGTAACTACTAAACAGCTAAACCGTTTTTATGGTCCATACGTCGATATAATCGTCTTGATAACGCGAGTGTCATAGGGTATATGAATATTATTAAAAATCTAAATTGCGGAATTGAGGTGCCAATATGTGACTTTATAAAAAAAAGTACTTTCAAATCTATTTAGTGAGGTATCAAAATGAAGAGTTATAAGAGACGATCACAAAAATATAAAGGACAACTTATAGATATGTTTAAAAGTAATTCGGGATAAGAAAATGTTAAATAAAACTCAACATGTTGAATATTTGAGACTTGCCGGAATTAAAAAGCTGTAAATAAAAAATTCAATTATAAAAATATAAAAAAACCCGACTGCGTAAAAAACGAACTCAAAAGATGAAAAGTACGTTAAGAAAGGAACATAATAATTATGTATTATGCAGTCGGAGAAAATGTTTTATCTTTGCTGCAAGTCTAGCTGTGTATATCTTTTGAGTTTGTTTTTTTTCATAACTATAAAACTTATGAAAAAAATAGAGCTAAAATATATTTTCAATTACATTGAGAATCGTAAGTGTTAGGAGGCCTATTACATTATGACCGTGATTTTTCAATTTAATGCCCATCTTTGACGTTCTTATCAGAGAAACTGAAACTCTTCGACAATTTTGAGTTATTATTATTAATTGAAATAAAGCCAAAATTTAGAAGCAAGTTTTAAATAAAATGAGCGACGGTATTTTTTCAAGCTAATGGATTAAAATGCTATACAAAGCAAACGAAATGAAAAATATATAATAATATCTCGTATATGTGATTGAGTTTAAAGCAGCCACAAGGAATTTGAAAATATATATTGGATTTCTACAAAATAAATATTTTCAAAATCTTAAAAACTATTACCATTATTAATATTATTAAGTAAAATTTACACTAGAATATATGTCAGTTCAAAAGAAACGTAATTACATACTTTTTACCAAATTTCACTAAATCTCACCAAGCGGATGGAGAAGTAGCAGGCTGGGGGTCCACATTGTGAGAAAAACGGCTCACACAATTAACGGCCCCCACAAAACAATTAGATACATATTATTTCATTTTAATCAAGTTAAATAAATTCTTATAGGTCACACATATTACGTACAATAATATCTAAATAGTACAAAGTTTAATAATATGCTAGGTATAATACTTTCTTAGATTTACGCGAATATTTGACATTTTAAATAAAACTATCTTTTCGGATTTTGTCGCGGATTTATTTGGATTTTAATTTCCCGACGTTTCGAATGCTTAGAGACTGAGGTGTTACATGTCTTGAATGTATAGTTGTTACAGACAACTTTAAACATTTTTATAATTTTAATTATAATTGAATATGGAAAATTATTTATTTAATTTTGCTATTATTTTTATAATTATTACAATTTTAAAATATTAATTAGTAATCTATATTTAGTGTTGCCATTATTATATTTATAACCATAAAGAAAAATATAAAATGTAGTATTAATTATTAAAGCCATATAATTGTTCTATGTGTAATTTAAAAAGTTAAAATTAATTAAGGATAATAATTTTAATTTAGTTTGCTATTATTTAAAAACAACTTACTAAGCAACACTATTAATATATACTTTTACAAATGAAAAATGAAAAATATTAGTCTGATAAGCTGTCATTTTGATCTACACAGTATGAACTTACTACATCTGCCTGTCTGTTATGTTTATATTTATTATTTGATTTTATTATATTAATAACAGGATCCCATGACGATGGTAGTACCCAGCCATCTTCCCTATTGAAATTAGGATGTTTTTTAATTTCTATGGCTTCTCGAATCATTCTAGGGCGATATCGGTTTTCTTTCGCCAGGATAAGTAAGTTTTAATTGAAGCTCGCTTTAGAATGTAGCCAATCTTGTCAGTGACGCCTCTCATGTAAGGTAGGACTGCAGGGACGCGCTCGACTGTGGCTGGTTTCACTCGGTCCCTGTGACGTAGGCGCGGCACTTGCAGCTTGTTGTCTCGCAGAACTTGCTTGACATGTTGCAGCTCTCCGGCCAGGTGTTGCTCGTCACAGATCCCGCGTGCCCTCTGAAACAAAGATTTTCCCACGGTAGCTAACTGTGAAGGGTGGTGGTGAGATTCACCATTCAAGTACCTATCAGTATGGGTCTTCTTTCGATACACAGTATGACTTAAGGTGTTATCTGGGTTACGTATAACTAATACATCTAAGAAAGCTAAAGAGGTGATGTGTTTAGGGCGGTCTCCTCGAAGGCCTCCATGAAGATGTCAGCTACAACGGGAGACAAAAGTTCAGTGTATTCTTCTTGCATACTATTATCCCGTAGCTTTCTTGATACTATTTTGACACAGTCCTCTACTGGTAGGCTGGTGAATAGAGACTGTACATATGAGTTGTAGGTGTTTTATCTCATTGACAAAATGGTACGAGTCCCTTGTGAACGCTGATGTTTGTCCTCTGAGTGTTGAGAGTACTTTTAAGTACTAAGTAAGCTTAAATTTTGCTGTTGCGCCGACACGCACGCAGACAAGGGAAATGCCACCGTCGTGATGGATACATCAGATTACAATGAGAAAATTAAACAACTTTTGTCGGATGAAAGTACATATAAAAAGGTCAAAACAGACCCAACCACCACTGTGTTAAATAATACTAAAAAGCTGATTAAGAAACACTCCGATGCATTGAATCTTGATGTCAAAAATCTTGTTCCATCTTGTGCAAAGCCGCCTAAACTGTATGGACTTCCAAAGATACACAAACCTAACGCTCCGCTACGTCCAATTGTGAGTCAAATCGACACACCGACTTATAAATTGGCCCAACTAGTAGCGAAAGTACTCTCAACACTCAGAGGACAAACATCAGCGTTCACAAGGGACTCGTACCATTTTGTCAATGAGATAAAACACCTACAACTCATGGACAATGAAACTATGGTCAGTTTCCAAATAAATCCGCGACAAAATCCGAAAAGATAGTTTTATTTAAAATATGCTAGGTAATTGCTATATTGGTCTGTCGTAATATTGAATGAATAGGGAATGAATGGAATTTAAAAACAAACTGTCTACACAATTTGTTTATTCTCTTATTGTTTATTCAATCACAGCTTCACTATGAGAGAGCTTTGAGCCGTCATTATGACTAGTTATATACAATATTGCATACAAAAATTATAAATATCCCAAAATATATAACAAAAATAGACAAAAATGTTAAGATTATATACATATTTTTGATACTTTTTTTAATTATGCTATTAAAAAGTAGGATGAATAGTAGGACTAATAGATATGGAATCTTCTTAATGCCAATTTATTTTTGGGAGTCATAAAAATAAGCTCGTACCTAATTAGATTAAAAGTTGAGAAAGCTCAATATTAAAACATTATATTTATATAAAAAATATATCTTATTAAATTATTGAGGGTTTCAAGAATCGACGGTAGTATGGCAGTAGTGGATCCAGTGTACTCATCCATACAATCGTCTAACGAAGGCCTCTAGACGGAGCGGTCGTGCGCTGTGTGAGTGAGGTGACAGTGCTACAAGGATCATTTGGCACATATAGTCTGTTTTTTAATCTCAGAGACAAAACTGAAATTACATGGGTTGCCAGTTTTTGCAATTCTTAAATAGTGATATGCCACTATCGAAAATTAACGTTAATAAAATCAAGTATCGCTTTTTTTATAATAAGTTATCCTGAAATAATGTGTAGGTACTTATTTCAATACAAATACAAAATTAATAATGCAAATTTAAATTTATTAATGTGGATTTTAATGATACTTAATGATTTAAAATTAATAAATATGATAGTTAATGATTTAAAATGAATAATGTGAATTTGTGAATTTAAAACTTTGAAGCGAATCGTCTAATAAATATAAAAAGTTACGATTCCACAAACCGGTATCGTAGGTACAACATTGCACAAAAGAGGTGGCAGTAGGCATGGAACATTTCACGAGTAGCAAGTGAAAAATCACATGAAATGCGTTATCATACCTGCTACTTAAATTCACAGTGACTGCTACAAATCACAGCTTGGTGAAATGTGAATTGCGATACTACATTAATACATACATTGTAATAGTTAGTGTAAAATTTAATATACCAATTTACTTAAGTTTTGTGTTTTCGTTGTAATTATATTTAAATAAATATAGATAGTAGTTACTAGTTAGTGTAAATATAACAATTTAGTTAAGCTTTCTGTTTTCGTTATAATTAGGTATTTCAACATTGTGGTCCAGAATGTAAATAACATTGGTGACATTTCATACTTCATTTTAATAGCAAATAATATAAAGTGTGACACCAGACCGTCGAAATGTAAAATCATTGCCTGTGAAAAGTAGTGAAATCACGTGAAAGAGAAAAATATACTTAATTTTATCATATGATAATGATTTAAAAGTAGCAATCATTTCCATACATATATTTAGGTGGCAGCATTATTTGTAAATTTGACATTTGCATGTGTCAATTTAATCTCTGCTATTAAAAAACAGACTAGTAACATTGACATGAAGGCGTGGGTGTGAAATTGGGGTTTTATTTTTTTTAAAAAACCTATCTAACACCACTTCATATTTTGAGATATTTTTTTTGAAATAAAAGCACGAAATATCCACAACAAACATTAACTGCAACTTCTCTCAAAAGTGACGTTTTACAAGATGGCGGGGTCAGTTCTGATTTCGGCCACGTGCCAAATGATCCTTGTAGCGCTGTATCGCGATACAGACTGTCATGCTTACTTGTGTATGGCAGTCGGGAAACAGTTTTAGTGTTGACAGTTATAGTTGTAAAGGAAGGGTACCGATAAGACTTTATTTTCGCCCCATGAAACATTTTCTGTAACATTTGGACTTTTCTTTTATATCGAGCGTAGGGGAGAAGCATTGCAATTATTATATACATATATGTATATTAAAATAAAATAAAAAAAAACAAGTGCCTTTTATATGCGCTCTATATACAAAAGTTGAAATATTGCTGAAAATGTCTCATTTTGAACGATAATCCCAGTTAGATAAAAGTTAGTCATCTCACAAATAGTATTAATTGTAGTTTTTTTCTCTCGTAAATATATTTCCTCATGAGGCACACAGCCTACTTTCAGAATATGTAAAGAAAATATCAAATCGTATGACATAATTTTTTTCGTTATTCTGGGGCGAATATAAAACCTTATCGATACCCTTCCATTAAACGAGATCGCGCTTTAACTTTTAAACTGGTATTTCTGACAATTCTGCATTTTTCGTCAATAGGGAATATGCGTGGTTTTTTTTATTTTTTTATACAATAGCTAAACATCGTTATATAATTATAAGAAAAATATATAAGCTTCAAAAAACTAAAATTTAGTAAAAAAAGTATATTAAAAATATCATACGATACGGATACTTTAAGCGCCCGTCATTTGGCACGCTTGGCGTGACGTGACAGTATGATATACACAGAAAAATGAATCAATTTGTAGCGACAAAATCGCTAATCGCTCTGTTATGATAGTACTCTGACGTCATATTCGGTCTGACCAATGGAGTGCGTTTAAACTACTTTAAATAATCCAACCATATTTGCACTTTTTAATAATTATTTTCTTAATCAAAAAGTAATTATATTAGAAAATATTGATATAGGCTTAATTCAAAAGCAATAAAAAATATTCCACCTTCATTTAAATCACACGCATAATCCCTATTGGGCGATCGACTGTATGGGTTTTTTGAGTTTATGTGTTCGACCAGACCACGCTTTCGAGCCAGTCGAGGTACTTTGAGACGCGCGTGTAGACGCCGGGTATGGGCGAGCCGCAGCCGCGCCCGAATGACGTCACGCCCACCAGCCGGTACTGCCCGTCGCGCGCCGTCAGCCCCTGCAGCGGCCCGCCGGAGTCGCCCTGGGGGTATTTAATCAATGAACTGGTTTACTAGCTATTTTTAATAAAAAAAAGTGTATGTGTACTTATGTATGTACGTAAGAAGTTATACTGCTTTGGCATAACAGAACAAAAATAGTCAAAAATTTCATCCCGTATACCAGAATTCTCTGTTTGTAAAAGGAATGATAAATTAATAAATAAGGCATATTGCAATGATATATTTATAAAATATAATTTAAGGGAAGAATATAATATATCATTTGTCAGACAATAAAAACAGTTACTATGGCAACAAATGCTCGCCTCTCTCGGTCACACTTTTCGGAACGCTCTCGTCACGCATTCACCTGCTTGCTGCCCCCTTTTTTTTTTTAACGTTGGGAAATGCATTTACGCACGACGTGTGGGACTCACCGGCGTAATACAGCCAGTACTACCCACTAAAACCCAACAAAACCTTCTCCCGTCTTAATGGGGCGTCGCAGGATCGCTTACGCATTCAACTACGACGCCCCGACGGCAGGTCTGCCGAAGCAGACCACCACAACCATGGGGTTGCTCCACGGTCCACTCTGCTATCAGAGAAGTACCAGGAGCAACCCGCAAGGTACACCGCCCCCCGAAGAGGGCCACCACCTACCGCCCACCGAAGTGGGCAACCTCCCTGTGCGTTTCTTAGCTTCGCGCCCAGTTGGATTGCCGGGCACTACTGAGCCCCCCCACCACGACAAGGTGAACGCACGTTGGGGGGGACCTGCTTACTGCCCTAGTTAAGTGTGCGTAAATAAGTTTTACTTCAATAATTAGGATAAATTATATTGTGTTGAGGTTGACGCACCTGACAAGTATCATGCAATCCTAGGGGATCGCCGGCACAGATTTGATTCTCCGAGATGCCCTCAGGCAGCTTCCGCCAGTTCGAGTAAGACTCCTCGCATTTGTTACGCGTCTCCACCGTCACGTTCGCCTTCAGAAGTAGCGTGCTCTTTATGTCCCCTAACACACAAAAACACCATATGAGAGACACCATTGTTTGGCCAATATATGCACTAACGGCTCACCCTTGCTTCACTCGGGTTCGTCTCTTCGGCTTCGGCTTCCTGACCCATACAAACTTTCATCCCCATTTTCACCCGGATGATTTCCGGGATAAAAAGTATCCTATGTCCTTTCCCAGGGCCTCAACTATCTTTTTACCAAATTTCACCTAAATTGGTTCAGTAGATCCAGAGATTACCCCCTACAACGTCACAAACTCACAAACTTTACCTCTTTATAATATGAGTATAGATTAAATTTGGTTTTTCAAATATTTATCTGCAATCAGACGTCCGTTCTGACTGTCTAGGTGTATGATAACATAAACCACCTAAATTACTCACGAGCGATAATTTTTTCAAGCTTTTATTTAACCTGTAATGTTTGTTTGGGTCAAATTTTGCCACTGAATTTTAAAGCAGTTATTCTTAACCGAATAAGCTGAAATTTTGCATACACGTTTAGTTTAGATGACTATGCATGCTAAGTGACGTCATTCTAAATCCAATATGGCGGACTATGTTTTGTTATTTAATGGACCCCCATGATATTAAATGAAAGGGTTTGCTGAGAAGAATAAGAATAACTATGAAATAAAAAAAATACACTACGTAATTATTGTAAAAAAAAAACATTTTTAAAAACAAGCTTTTATATAAATGCTCTAATAAGAAGAAAAAAAATTAAATTATATCAAACCCATCAATTTATTATATTACACAATTTATATGACATAAAAGCTAGTTGCGAGATTGTCCTGTGTAGATAAACAAGAAATAAAATGTTAAAAAATAATGTTTTTTATAAAATAGGTACCTATGCTTGCAATATTACGACCACGTTGTTATTACTGTTATTTGATCAAAAAGACGTAAGTAAATTATGATTTGATTTAAATTTTTATTGGAAAACACAGTCTAATAAAAACAAAAAAATAAAAGTCCCACAAAGATTTTGACCGACTTGTATCTTTTACCTGTATTCTTAATATATTAGAACACGCTAGTAATAGAAGGATGAGAAAGTATGGAGATACGAACGTTTTTTTACCGGAGGTAAAGTAAAAACGAACGAACGATATTGAAATTATTAATTATTACAGACAATGAAAGCCCGGTAAGGCGCTCGTTTGGGAAACCGAGTGAAGCAGGTTCAAATCATCTAGCAGTGGGACGTTAAAGTATGTGGGCTGAATACATATTACTTACTAGTGTTGCTCGTTTTACCCCAACCGGTAATTGTCAATGGTATGGAGGGATCTTCATCTTTCGTGTAAAGACATATTGGATTAATATACATTGATGTCTGTACTGGCCTTTCTAACCTGAAAATGGTAAAATGAATATGTTAGAAATAAATTATATAAAGCTGTAATCTAATTTTATAACTTTTCTGGCTTCTGCATGCGGCTTTGCCTGTCGTTTTGGTAGTTCATAACCACTTCACATGACTCTCAAATTAATAATAATATCCTCCTGACCAGATTCGGATCTGCAGCCGTACATGCTAACCAATAGACCACCGGTAATCAACTTACTGTGTGACGCTCAAATTACTGTATATATCTATCTAAGAACTATCACGAAATCAATTAACAACATTTATAAATAATGTGTATTATATTTTTAAAAACTTTTTGTTTAAAAAGGTTTATTAAAGGTGTTAATGTAGTCGTTTTTAGAATTTTGTCTGTTTGAATGCACACGTAAAGCATATCTTTTGGAAAATCCAATAGACATTTAAATGTACAGGCGGCAAACCCGCATATACGAGCACTGTAATAGTTTAAGGAAACTAGGTCATACTTAAATTTCAACATATCAATATTTTATTAATAAATGTCTAGAAAATAACATAATGTAATGAATTACTTGATTATTGCCAAATCATGATATTTAATGCGCCTCATATAACTGGGATGTGTTATAATTTTCTCGATTCTCACGTCCGATGCTTCATTAAACTCTCGACCGCTGATCTCTATCACTCCCAAACGCGCTATGCTGGGCTTTACTCTGTAAAATAAAAAATATAATTAAATTAACTAAAAATGTATTAAACAATGTAACATGCATTTATTTTCTTAAATCGATAATTAATGTAAGATAGATTTATGTAAAAATAAATTATATTCTTATAAATAGTATAAAACAAAGTCGCTCTTTACGTCAGTCTGTTTCTTCGCTTACTTCTTCTAAACCACGCAACGGATTTTGATACGGTTTTCAACGGTGTTTTATTAAAAAAAAACAGTCTTCGTACGATTGCATGGCTAATAGGTACATCAAAACAATATATTAGAAAATTATAGGTCTCAAAAAGGCCTGCAGAAAAGTCCGCGATAGCTTATGTCTATCTCCTAAGGTACGGTCACAATATTTATATACGCATATAACATATCTACAAGGGACGCACCCGAGCGAAGCGAGGTTAATTCGCTAGTATCCTATAAATTATTATTTACATGCTTTCCTGTGGCTATTCAACGTTGATAATAAATACTTCACAATAATTTAAGTGCATAACGTTTCGAATAATATGAACATACGAATATAATTGGCAGTAGCAACATAAATTTATATAATTATATATGGACCTTATATTTTTATACTACCTACTTATATAACTAATTAGAGACCGATTGCATCATGTGTTGACATCATGGTTTCATTTATTTTTCTAGATTCTATTTTGCTAGAACAAAATATATTTTATCTATACATATAATACAATTGTAACGAAGCCGAATCTGTACATTAAATATTGTTTGGAAAATCTTATTGAAATAAACATTATTATGCATACAGAGGCCGAATCTATAGTTTTTACAATTTTTGTCTGTCTGTCTATTAGCGTATCACGGAAAAACCACTGGAAGAATTTTGAAGAAATTTGGTATGATGATGGCTGGTTATCCGGGTCAACATATAGGATATTTTTTACAGCGGGAAAATGTCTCATTTCTGAGAAAAAATACAAAAACTGCAATGTAAGAGTATACTAATATGTAAAACCTATGAATTTTGTTCACCTGAACGCGGGGGGAGCCGCGGGCAATGCTAGTATGCAATAAATTTAAGTTACTTTTACCTTCAAGAAAATAATAATAAATAATAAGCAAAGGTATGTCATTGCTGCTTTTATAATAATACTTTGTCTAATAAGAGAAATATGGCGTTAAAAAAGGACACTCAGTAAGCAAAACAATAAATTGCAAAACAAGTTACGTTATGACTCCCAGAGTTCCCAGAAATATCATTTGCGATAAGACTTATCGTCAAACTCAATAAAGAACGTCGATTCCATATTCACAATTAATTATATATTAAATTAATTACCTATCATCGCATCGCTCGAGTGCGTCCCCAGTTATGCGGATTTGGTTCACAATTTTATGGGTTTTATTGTTTTTGTGCGGAACTCTAATTCCTTTTCTAAAATAAAGTAGCCTAAGTTACTACTTATAACATCAGCTTTCGGCCAGTGAGTCTTCATCAAATCAGACATCAAAATCGGCTGAGCTGTTTCTGAGATTAGCCGGAACAAACAGACTAGAGACAAAAAATATATATTGTTTTTTTTGTTATAGGTACCGTAACGGTATTATACATACTATCTTTCATACGCAATTAGTAAAAGCTGTTATTTTGACATAGTCCTAGATTATGTTCACAAATATTTCTAACGAGATGCATTGTTTACACTACTTAAGTAAGGGCATAATAAAGTGATTTGAAAAATATTTACTGATCTAAAGTATCAACGCAGTGGGCTGCAGATAAAATATAAATGTTCGATATTAACGATGCACCACAAAGAAATTCGTAGCCATCCGTCCGCTCATATCCGAGTGCAACCTGGAAAAATTAATAATATAAAATTATTATCTATATATTTTTACAGATTATCAAGTAAGTAACACATTCAAGCTCAACCCACGGGTCTTAAGTTGTCTGTCCGTTCTTGTTTATTAATTAAAATCGCAAATACGCATAACGTACTACCCTCATTTGGGTGGAGTTCCTAAAGTCCACCCGATTTCATAATTTTGTTTAGAATCTGATTAGCAAATTTTTGATTCCCAAAAAAGAATATTTGTAAACATCTATATCAAATAAAAAAGATAATAAAAAAATAACAAAAAACATAAAACTTGCTCAAAAAAATGATTGTCTGTGGTATTTCATTTACTAAAAAAACTTTGTTTTAATATTAGCAAAAGAATATAATAATACTTTCTGATATTTACGCAAATATTTGACCTCTTTACATAGTATAATCAAATATTTTCGAAGTCGGTGTGCTTTGCTTTGTATGTGCTGGCACTGATTTCGAAAATATTTGATTAGGTATGTATAGTAAATGAAAACTACCAATCAGTTATTTTTTACTTTTTAGTGCTTTTGTTTGAAGTCGGTTTATATTTTTTGTTAAAAAGTTTTTATTTTTCCCTTTTTAGTGTAGACAGTAGTAGCAAAGAAAGGATTCTAACGTGTTAGGCTTGTCAAATCAAACAAATAAGCCCAAACTCAAAGTATCTACTATTAGCCGTTGAAGAGTTCCATCTATTCACCTTCTGGCCTTGCCATCAGATCAGGTCAATAACACCGAACCACTGTACTATCAACGGAAATAGAAATACTTGCAAAGTTTCAAGTCAATATGACAATTAGAAGTAGGTTAAATTCATCATCAGTTGTTTTTCCACCCTTAGGGGTGGTATCTTTTTTTTAAATTTAAATGGGACCAATCTGGAAGTATACCCTTTCAAACAAAACAAAAATTGTCCAAATCGGTTAATAAATGACGGAGTTCTGAGGTAACAAACATAAAAAAAAAAACATACAGTCGAATTGAGAACCTCCTCCTTTTTGAAGTCGGTTGATAAAATGAAGTCGCTTCCGCTGTTCGCTTAGAATCTAAGCGAACAGACAGCGGAAGCGACTTAATAATAACCTACCTACTAAGCCTAACCTACTAAGCCTTAGATCTTTTAAACTACTCGACGGATTTTGATGCAGTTTTTCAGTAAAATAGATAGTGATTCAAGCGAAAGGTTTATATGTTTAATACATGCATATTATAGTACAGAAAAGCCGAGGAATTCAAAGATTTGTATTTCATATTAACCCTTAAAACGTACTTAGGGACGAACCCGAGCGAAGTGAGGGTGAATCGCTAGTGTTAAATAAGACTATCTTTTCGGATTCATAATTATTAATTGTTTTTAAGGTTTTCGTAGCCAAAAGGCAAAAAGGAACCTTTATAACTTCATCGTGTCCGTCTTCTTGGAGCTACATATAGGTATGACTAGAGAAATTAGGTATTAGATAGCGTCATATGTGTAATTCAGCAGTTAAATTATAAAAATAAAAAAATACGCTTGCAAGGGACAGTCTCGGCGGAGTGAAAATCGCACTTGTCCGATTTCTTATTTAAGAATTACGTTGTTTTGGTATATTTAAAAAAATATATTTTTATTTATTTCAAGACTCCTAAATCAACTTGTAATAAGGAAAAATATTAAACATGTTATGTAAATGATATTAGTAATTGCTTCCTTAAATAGTTTAGTACTACCATTAAAAGGACAAATTTTCAAAAATAAAAAAAACGGACTGCATAAAAAGCGAACTAAAAATTTGAAAACAAGTTGGCAAAGGAACAGTATTATGCAGTCAGAGACAACCCATGACATACATAATATTTTATAATAGTCTGTCTCTGATTGCTTATTACTATATTTTTTTCATTCTTTTAGTTTGCTTTTTGACAATATAGATATATGGTGCCAAAAATTATAATTTTGATATACCCAGTGTCATGCTCACAATTAAGACGAATCTAACGACATCTCTCAAGATAAAATCCATGAAGCCGTTTAGGCTACAGAGCTTGCCAAAGAAATATACATACATATGTACATACATACACTCAAAAAACATAACCCTCCTTCTGGCGCAGTCGGGTCAAAATGTAATCTTTAAACGGTTCACAGACATACTACCATAATAAAGGATTGCACAATGCCCAAATCATTAATGTTCACATATAATGCGTGTTTTCCAGACTTTCTGAAGCAATTAAAAATAGACGTCATAATTCTAAAGTAAGGTTAAAATATTGTTGTAATTAATTAAATGAATATTTAAAGACGTAGACATCAAATTTAAAAACACCAACTGGAAGAGGAAAAATGAATGTCAATTTTACTCTACAAGACATGAGATTTTTCATGTGATCTTAAAAGATAAAGAGAAAAATTAGATATGGATTATGGATACTATAATCTATATACGAGTATGTACTAATATTATAAAGAGGTAGTTTGTGAGTTTGTGACCTTGTAGGCGGCAATCTCTGGATCTACTGAACCGATTTACGTGAAATTTGGTAAGAAGATAGTTTGAGACCCTGGGAAGGACATAAGATACTTTTTATCCCGGAAATCATCCTTTAAGGGGGTGAAAATGAAGATGAAGTGAATGAGAGAGAAAGACGTATTTTTTGTATTATATTTAGTGACGTGTGAATTTCATAGAATCAAGTGACTTTATACGTAAAACAATGTGTAAACATTAATGTTTGACAAATTTTTTTTTTGCTGAAGTGGATTTTTTAGCTCACTATACGTCTAGTTCATTAACAATATTTTATTTGTATAAAATAATAATTGTTAACTGCTTTAAAACAACAACGGCAATATACCTATATATTACATACTAGTGACTCAGCCTCGCTTCGCTCGGGTTCGTCCCTAGCTTGTTTCCCAATACAAACTTTTACCCCCATTTTCTTCCCCTTAAGGAATGATTTCCGGGATAAAAGGTATTCTATGTCCTTCCCAGGGTTTCAAACTATTTCATCTAAAGCGGTTCCGTAGATCCAGAGATTACTCCCTACAACGTCACAATCTAATAATAACATTAATTTATAATTAAAACAAATCTATCTGTCGGAATCCGTATATTTTTACGGGATAAAAAGTAGCCTATGTGTTATTCCAGACCATAATCTTTATCTGTGCCAATATTCATCCAGATCCGTTCATCCGTTCTGGCGTGAAAGAGTAACAAACATCCATACATACTCACAAACTTTCACATGTATAATATTAATAATCTATACAGAATAAAGATAAATAGATTTGAAGTGTCTGTTTGTAATGTAAAAATAACAGCTTTTTACTAAATGCATATGGAATTTTATAGGTACCTACGGTATTTATAAGAAAAACACAATTTTTACACATTACACGGCTGGGACGATTTTGACGGGACTTTCACTGACAGGTAGTTGATGTTATAAGGAGTAACTTAGGCTACTTTTATTTCAGTAAAAGAATTAGGGTTGCGCTCAAAAAAATTAAAATTTACCTACGGATATAAATACGGATTTTAATTAATGTGATGATATAAATGCGCAAAACCGAGAATCCATGCAATATAAATGCCAATAATGATCTTCAAATTTTTGTAGTATAAAAAACTAAGCATACATAATAATAATAATATGTAAACTTATGTAAATCCAAAGAGAGATAATTAATTATATTTATATATAAATGACATAAGGTCAACGTATGACCTCGCACAGGGAAAACTGATGCTTTTAAGCATATCGCAAAATACCCAACTGTAGTGCAGTAAAGAATTACCCAACAATAATAACCTTTACACTTTATTTCAAAAGAGTTTGATACGTAAAAAGGTTTTTCTATATTTAACATAAGTAACAATTATAATAAAAAGTAAGTAATCTATACATATAATAAAATCGTATCAAAGTCGAATCTGTACCTACATTAAATATTTTTTGGAAAATCTTATTGAAATAGACTTTATGGAGGCCGAATCTATAGTTTTTAGAATTTTTGTTTGTCTGTCTATCTGTCTGTTACCGCATTACAGAAAAACCATTGGAGGGATTTTGATGACATTTTTTATGATGATAGCTGGTTATTCGGGTCAACATATAGGATACTTTTTACCGCGGGTAAATATCTAATTTCTGAGAAAAAATGCAAAAACTGCATTGTAAGAGTATACTAATACATATATAGATATTATAATAGTAAATTAAATCTGTATAAATTATGGTAAACATTCGTACGAAACTAAATAAATAAGGAAAAATAACTTTACATTCCTGTTGCATATAATTAGGCTAATGTTTGGTGCTACTAAAGAAGATTTTGTATGGTATTTTATGTATCTCTTATGAGTAATCTATACTAATATTATAAAGAGGTAAAGTTTGTGAGTTTGCAAGTTTGTGACGTTGTAGGGGGGAATCTCTGGATCTCCTGAACCAATTTACATGAAATTTGGTAAGAAGATAGTTTGAGACCCTGGGAAGGACATAGTATACTTTTCATCCCGGAAATCATCCCTTAAGGAGGTGAAAATGGGGATGAAAGTTGGTATGAGGAATCAACCTACATATATATACCCATACTATATAACCATAGTATACAATAAAACCTTTTTCCTTATATAATTTTATTATAACGAGTCGCGTCTGTATATACTATATTGGATATATTATGGCAATAATAAATCCAATATAGTATATACAGACGTGTGTGTGTTTGTGGATATATGTGTGTGTTGTGTGTGCGAGCGCTTGTATCCCACTGCCTGGATCCACAAAATATCATTTTGTTCCGTACACAAAAGGCCAAAGCAGAAGCCACATCCGTGTTCCTATGTCACAGCCATTTTACTTGAATATTTATGGGGCTATTTTACTAAAATTTTGCAGGCAGGTCTCGTGTGAGCTAGACAATTCTCTAGTTAAATTACGAAATATAAAAAAAATTGTGGTTGCCATACATTTAACTGTGGAGTTAAAAATATTATGTAACCTTACACTGAATAAACAAGTTTAATAAATAACATTTTATAAAATAATAGGGAAAACTTGTTATGACATGTATGATTTAGTGTTGCTACAGGAAAACCCAAAACTTTGGAAATTGAATCTCATGTAATTTTATCAGAAACCTTTGCCATAACATTTATGTAAATTTAATTAAGTAGATTGATCATTAGTCATGACTTAAAAAAATATGTTTATTACCATGTGTGGGAATTCCCCAGCAGATACATTATCACCACCTATAATGTGTAAACCCAAAGGTGGCAAGCTATTCTTCACAATTTTTTGACATTCTGAAATATTATAAATAAAATCAGAAATGTTATTTTACTAAAAGTGTACAAATAATATTTAGTTAGAGAATTTTTCTATGATAAAAATATGATGATAAATTATATTGTACTAATTTAAGTTCAGATATATGTTAAAATTATTATCATATTACTTTCTTTTACACATAATATATTGAATATACATACATATATTAAGAAAAAAAAGTGCTACTTATATCTAACCTCTATCTGCTATTCTGAGAGCCCGAGGATTTGTTTCACCTGTAAAAGTTTTATCTCTGTTAATCCTATTCAAAATTCAAATTTCTCAAATCAAAACTATATAGTAAACTAAAATAATATTCAACTAGAAGCTTTGCAAAAGTAACTTTAGCTTTCAGTTTAGAAAACATTGTACATATTTGTCAGTATTGAATCCATTAAATTGGTATTAAGGTTGTTGACAGAATGTTCATGAAAAATAATAAAAAAAATTGAATTACAATATATTGAAATACGTTTAAAAATGTAAAATCTCATATCTTTAAGATCACATGTTATTATATCACTTATTAAGAAAAAAGATTTATAAAGTAACTACTAATAAATTAAATGTATAACAATGTTACATACCATATTTATCAACGGGCTTATTAGGTGATTCACTTGTAGATTTTATTACATAGGAATCAGGTGGACAACAAACAATTTCAGTCAAACTATTAAAACCACATCTACTGAAGGGATGATGTCCTAATTGTTTGATTAATCTATGTAAAATAGAAATTAAAGTACAATAATAAATTTGTTATTAGAAAAATAAAAATTAAATTGTTATTTTATATATTTTAAATTTAAATAAAGAAGAATAATATGTCCTATCATAAAGAAACTGACCTTATGGCAGCCTCGCATTCAACAACTAACTTGCAAGTACCATCATTAAACTTGTCTATTGGTTTACATTTATCACCAACTAAAAAAATGTAAAACATACATTAATCACAACATTTTTAACTAAAATACTTGACTGTTTATTTTTTCAAAAGTGCAACTATGTCTATTTATATAAAGTTTAATTTCATTTGATTTTAAATTTTACCTTCTCCGGCTTCTATAATTTTGAACAACACTAAAGTGTAGAGAAAAAGCCACCTGAGGCACATTTTTTGTTTTTTACAAGTAACTTTTCCTTAATCAATGATAAAGAACATTTACATTAGCAAACACGCGAAACCAGTTCACTAACCAATAACGTTGAAAATGAAACAAAATAATCACTTTGATATAAACGTACGAAAAAGATATTCACACAAATATAAAGGACTATAAATTTCAATTGCCTTTAAATTACTACTGATTGAGAATTAATAAGAACATTTTGATTTTTTTAAATTAACGCAATAGTACAAGAGTGCACATTAGGGTATTCACTAATAAACTGAGATAGATTTGTAATTATTTATATTGGTGACTTCATACTTGATAGGAAGTTTCAAATATTTTATTAATATAATCGAAAAGTCATATTTTCAAGTTTATGTAGGCATCATTAAATTGTCATCCACCTCCAGGCATCTGACGGATCACGGAACTATAAAGTTCAGATGGAGTAGTCACTGAAAAGTGTAAAATATTTAAGGTTCTCTGTTTTTATTCTTAGGAAAATGTCTACATTAATTATATTTTATTTATAGTGCTTAGTGTTTTTACAAAAGGAATACTATTTAAATAAATAATCATAACTAAGTATACAAATAATACTATAATAATTATTTATAAGTAATTGCTTGAAAGGAGGGCGCTACACGTATGATCTATCTAGATTCAGTCCGAGGTTATGCAATTTATTATATCTCTTTTGTACCTGCTTTTTTGGTTCTATTGTGTTCGCATCTTACCTGTAAATGATGGATGTGCAATGTATCGTACCTGGAAGTTACACAGCTAGTCAGCTGTCCTGACTGACTGATGGATCAACACACAACCTAAGCCGCTGGTTGTAGAAACGTGAAATTTTGAGGACGTATTCCTTATATGATGTAGACATCCGTTATGAAAGGATTTTTCGAAATTCATCCCCTAAGTGGGTAAAATAGGGAATTAAATATTGGAACTCAGTCATCTTAATGTGAAATACATAGAAAGTAGTGTTTAGCTTTAAGATACGTATTCGTGTAAGAAATGTATTAATTTGATATTTTTGGAAATTTATCCCTTAAAGGGGTGAAAGGGGGCAATAAAGTTTATATGAGCAAAGAATTATTTATGACCAGAATTACTTGAAACTTGGTATTAATGCTCTGCATTATAATGAAATAAATACGTGTTTTAGCATTTTTCGAAATTCATTCCCATAAAGGGTTTAAAAGAGGGATAAAAGTTTGTATGATACTCTATAATTTATGCACAGAAAGAGGTATTTACCCTTAAAATGAAAAATAAAACATATAAATATTTTGTATTGATTTTTGTATTCTTGTGGAAAAAACTCCTTTTTCAGATTTCTATTTCGTAGTCTTTCTTCCCTAGCAGCTGCTTAGGTGGTAAAAACATGGACCAAAGGAAAACAGCTGGCACCGCATTCTCCTTTAACTTTCGACGTTGAAAATAAAAACATGCAATTTAAACAATTATGGTAATTTATATATTATGTATCTGTAAATGTTCCAATCCGAGTGAAAAGTACAAAAAATAAAAAATATATTAATCTGTAGAAGATTTAACAGTTTTAAAATCACTTTCTGTAAAATTATGTCCACATAGCCTTAAATATAAAGATTGTGATTTCGCCAATTTTGGTCATCATATTGCTTTTGCCCACAATTTTTTCAGTTTTTGTCGTTTGGGAACAAATAATATCCGTTTTTTTGCATCCTGTCACTGCACAATTTGTCATTTTAACTGAATTTTAAATACAATGAAAAAAAAACCCATCTACGCTATAGAGCTTTACAATATATTGAGGGTCATAGTCATCGTGAAACCTGGCGGGAGAAAATTGCATAATTATTTCTGATTATTTTTAAGCACCTGAAAGGTGTAATATAAGAAATAGAAAAAACGCTTAGGGATTAAAATAGAATATATACATAATAATCGTAGAAAACTTTTTATATTAATATTATTTTATATTGGCATTATTTTCAATGTACCAAAATATTTCATAATTTCGATTCATCAGTGAGTACTCTTTAATTTTAATATCTAGTTTGAACTTTGAACACAGATATCAATTGAGATAGCTGCGAGAGCTACACAGCTCCCTAGAGTAAAAATGTTCCTTGCTACACAGGCTCCAAGTATAGATATAGCAGGTTAATAATAATTATTCGATTCTAATCGAACAAATGAAAAGGATAATAACAAACACCAAAAGCTAGTAATGAACTAATCCACTTTTTTGATTAGTTATCCATGCATTAAAATTAATAAATAGATTATAAAAAAGTTTAAGAAAATGGCTGTATAGAGTTTAACTTAAAAAGTATATCAAAATATTTTATGAAAATCAAAAATATGTCATAAACCAGATTATAACCTACGCACTACGTTTGTTACTTATCTGTATTTTTATTATTGATAAGCAATAGCTAATCTGTGCGTGATACTTCGCTGGCTTTGTGTTCCGTCTGGACTGACTCTGGCTTTCAAGCACAATTTTGCCGTGCCGCGATCGTGTGTATAGTCAAAGACTATTTATTAGATTGCGAATAATAATTAATGAAATTTAAAAGTTATATTTCCGGCTTAAAAATATTAACTCATAATGTGAACTTTGTAATGATTTTAGTAAACTTATTTATTTGAATATAAACAATGTAGTGATGAGATATTCTTATATTTTGATAGTGTTGTGCGTCATTTAAAGCTCAGCTTTCTGATCAGTTAATGATGATGACATCCCCAGGCACAACGACTACTCGACTCGGCGTCCACGCTGGTGTGGCTAGCCAGGTAGGACTTGCCAGTCCGGATTTCGGAATGGCAGTTGCTGTCCCTCAATCCTTCGATTTACAAACTGTAAGTTGTGGTGATTCTTCTTCTGATGCACACTCCCCTGAAATGCCTATTATGAAAGCGAGTGATCGACAATCACGTATTATTGCAGAAAAACATCGTAGAAGTCAATTTAATGGTCAAATTGCTCAAATGATGACTTTATTGTCAGATATAGTACATTCACAACGAAAAGTTGACAAGACAAGTGTTTTACGACTTGCAGCTAATAAACTACGCAACGAACATATATTTGGTGACTCTATTAAGTGCTGTCACCTTGAAACTTGGTCTTCAGCTATATTAAAATTTTTTGACCTTATTGGAGGTTTTATGTTTGCTGTTACTTGTAAAGGTCGTATTTTTAATGTCTCTCCTAATGTCCAAGAAAAATTAGGATATTGCCATATAGATTTACTAGGTCAGGACATCTACAATTATATTCACAATGAAGATAAAGAAACTTTAAGGCAACACATTTATCCAGTTGAATTACAAACTGGATGTAATTCAAGATTATTTGATCATCTTCATACTTTTCATATTAGGATCATGAGGTCTGGTGCAAGATCAGATCCTCCAAGATATGAGCGTTGTAGAATAGAAGGTGTTCTTAGACGATCAGATCGAGCCACTGCTAATGGAGTTCAAGATGAACAAACAATTAGAAGACAGAGAGTAAGGCATCATCGCACATTTTCATCAAGTGGTAATGACTATGTATTTATAGGCATGGTTCATGTTCTCTCAAATAACTTACCTGCTAGAATCTTACCACCTACAGCATATTCTGAATACTGGACTCGACATTTGTTAGATGGTAGAATTGTACAATGTGATCAAAGCATATCTCTAGCAGCAGGTTATATGACTGATGAGGTTACAGGTACCTCTGCTTTTGTATTCATGCATAAAGAAGATGTTCGCTGGGTAATCTGTGTATTGAGACAGATGTATGATCAAAGTAGGGAGTTTGGTGAATCTTTTTATAGACTTATGTCACGTTCCGGCCACTTCATTTATATGAGGACAAGAGGTTATCTTGAAATAGACAAAGATACAAAAAAAGTACAGAGCTTTGTTTGTGCCAATAGTGTCATAGGAAAAGAATATGGTCAACAAATGTTGAAAGAGATGAAAAGAAAGTATTCAGTGATGGTAGATGCAGATAGATTAGAAAATGAAAAAGTTGTTTCTGCTGATGAAGTCCCTGTGGAACATCCAAGACATTTAGAAAGAATTGTAATGCACTTAGTGGAGCCAGCAGTCAGTGAAAGTGTTGATGAATTTAAATTAGTTGCACCTTCCAAAGAAAATATTATTTCTGCTATTAAAAATAGTGAAAAAGTAGTTCATGAAACAGGTATTCGATTTGATACACGTAAAAGAAAAAACTCTGATAGTGATGACAACTGTGAACATTTAAAAAGACATAGTGGACTTTCTGACTCTTAAGCATTTTATCAATTTGTGTTTTATGTGTGTTTCATTTGACTTATAGATAATATATTAAAATATTATCAATTTCTTTTTATTAATATTTGCAATATTATCATTAAAAAATTGAAGGTTATTATCAACTTACAACTAAAGAAGGCAACTTTTATTTATATCAAAGGAAACATTTTTTGTGCATTTCAGCCTAAGCAGCAAAGTATGTATTAATAATGTATAAAATTGCATACTTGATTTATCTGTAGATCTTTAAATGGTTACATGAAGTACTATTATGGGGGAATATTTAAGTGCTACTGATGTTTTGTGTTTGAATTAAGTTATGTATGTGCCAAATGTTGATGTCCATATTAATAAACCAAAAGATTAATATTATGAAATTCTTTTCTATAACACAAGTTTACTATAATCCAAATCAAAATTATATCTTTGCACTAAATATTTATGTTATTGCAACACTTATCTATTCTTGATAATTGATTGCAAGTATTATCTTGCATTATTTATAAAATATTGACATATCATATCTCTTTGACATTGTTCTGCAAAGAAGACAAAATATAAACATTTTAAATTATATCATACACAAAATCCACCCAAGCAATCACAAAAAATTGTCTTTTCATCCATATATTTCTCAACACAACCCTATTAACAGTTGTAATTTTTGATTTAATTTTGCTGAAATAATTTTATTTCAATGTAGTTTGTAAATATTGTGTATCTAGACCTAAAGTGAGTTCACACAAGCATTTTAAAAACTTCTCTTAAAAAATGATTAATGAAAATTTCCATTATTTATTAAAAACATGTAGGTAAATGACTGATTGATATCTTTACTATTTTTATAATAATATGTAGATGAATGTTGTACATGCAATATTCACACCTAAATCACAATATACCCACACAAGAATTAAAAGAAAATCTAAATTGAAGCAGCTTGTTAATATTGACTATAACAGAATGTAATGAATTATAAAAGCATATTATAACAGAATTATAACAGAATATTAAGCATTATATAACAGAATGTAATGAATTATAAAAGCATAAGCATATAAACTATAAAGATAAAGCCAAACTAAAATTTTAGCATGTGGATATGAAGGGAACTAAAAAAAATCAATTGCAATAATTGTTTATTAGACTAAAAATAATTTCATAAATTAATACATTAAGTACATCATTATTTCTGACATTAAATCAAAGAAATTGCTATGTACAATGTATGTTGTATAATTAAGGCGTATCCTGAGTATTATTCCTGAGTGCATTCAGTTCATCCTAGCTACTTCACCTTGCTACAAGAATTCATAAGATTTAATATTTGTTTTAAAATCTCACATTGCAAGTTTTAATAAAACTATGTTTCCAGATCTTTTCTAGTTGTTTTAAGATGACAATATCCAAAGTGGTAGTTACATTTAATATGTCAAATATTCACGTAAATCTCGGAAAGAGTTACCTACATTACAATTTACTTTACAAAAATTATAAAACATTTAGTATTACTGATTGCCAACTATACAGTATGTATAGCGATTCTAAGCCACGTGTTTCACTTTCATCATAATAAATACCCCAAAACATATAAATGTATTGTTTAAATAATCAATTATAATAAAATTAAAACGAGTAAAATGTTTATTATTAATTAATTGTCGATCTACTATTGTAAGTCGCGAATTAAAGTATCTAACAATAAGTAATGAATGATGTTCAAGAGGAGACGAAAGGGATCAATCAATGACTTTCTCTTTTTAGTGGGTTTTTTAAAAGGAAATTTAAGAAGTAGTTAACGCAAACTTTTTTTCTTGAATTCAACAATTTAAGAATAACATATTGTAAAATTATAATGTACACTTTCGTATTTAGATTTGTTTTACATAACGATAGGCATTAAAATTTATACATTTTATGCATCTATCTGGGGACACGCCTTAATGAAATAAATTGTATTAATAAGGACAAACTGTAAGTAATTCCGAGCCCACTTTTGACAGAGATGATACTAATTAAATACAAGGACTTGAAGTGTACCGCGTACTTCATTTTGTGGCACAAGCTTTTTTAATGTGAACATCGGTTTTGTCAATATTATTTTTTTGTAAGAAGAGAAATCGAACAAATTTGTTTTTTTTTTCAATTTTTTTGTTTCTCTGTCTGTTTGTACGGGCTAATCTCCGAATCTATTGGATCGATTTAAATGAAATTTCGCATGGTGCTACCTTATATCCCCGGTCAAGATACTTTTCATCCCGGAAAATTAAAGAGTTACCGTGGGATAGTTAAAAAACTATAGTACCTTATATAGCTTAGCTCACAAAAACTATTAATTGGATTTTAATGAAACTACAATATAGTTCATACATCTCAATAACAAATAAGCTACTTTTTATTCCGAAAAATGTACGTTCCCGTGGGATAGATTTGTTTTTGTTTGTAACGTATTATGTACACAATATAGACCCCAAAACAATAGTTATTAAAAAAATTGTCTGTTTGCCTGTATGTTTGTTTGTACGGGCTAATCTCCGAAACTGTTAGACCGATTTAAATGAAATTTTGCATGGTGGTTCCTTATATCCTTGGTCAACATTTTAGATACTTTTCATCCCGGAAAATTAAAGAGTTCTCGTAGGATAGTTAAAATGCTATAGTAACTAATACAGCTTAGTACACTTTGCACCTAATTTAGTATTTGGCATGCTGATACCTTATATTACCGGTCAAACAACAGGTTACTTTTTATCACGGAACAATGAACGGTTCCCGTGGGATAGATCTGTTTGTGCTTTTTGAACGAACGAAAGAGGTGAACCCGAGCGAAGTGAGGGTGAGCCGTTAGTATGGAATATATTGCAGTCATACCCTAATAAAAAACGAATATTTAAATTGTACTTTAGCATCTATAACAATAAATTTGACAAAAATATTTGCATAAATTGCGCTGTATTTGTACTGTGCTACAGAATGATATAAAGTAGATACATTCTAAGAGCTTTTTGTATCACGTTACACGTAGGTCGTGACGATGTTGAATCTGGGTCCAGGGTTCATACAAAAGTGTTCATCTTACTTTACTATAGATTGGCTCCTTCTATTAACAATTAATACAACAGCAGCAGCAGTTTTGTTATGCAACAAGGCTAATTAAAAATAAACTGTATAAGTAATTAAAGTAAGCAAGACAATTCAAAATCAAAAGATATTTTAATTTTTAATTTAAAAAATATATAAGTAAATCTGACAATCATAATATATTATGTTTATAAAGTAAAACATTCTTTTGGTTTGCTAGTAACTACAATAAACGTAGAAGTGAATATGCAATTTTTTTTAAATAATACAATAAATTGTGTTCACGCCATATTTTTAAATTTATTTATATGTTAATTAAGTATTGCCACATCGGAATGAATAGTAAAAAATATGGCGAATTTATAATGGCAGGGTTTGTAAGTTGTATAAGGATACTGGCCAATTCAATTGACAATACTTGCTTCGTAAAGGGGCAAGTTGTGCTGTAATCAGGGTAAAATTAAAGCTAAGTATATAAATGTAATTAAATTTATTTTGTAAGGAATTGCATAAAATATAAAATTGTTAATCAGAACAACTTATAATTTCTAGATTTTACTGTTTTATTTGTAGTTCACTTTACTTGACAAATTAGGGGAACTTTATGGTCATTTGACATTAACAAAAACTGTTGAGTACAAATTATTAAGTGAATCTTGTACTGTGGACATTAACACAATTAAACAATATAATTACACATTACTTCTTAATTTAGGCAAATACTTATTTTTTTTCCAAATTTATAATAATATTATATTTTCTAAAAGTCATTATTGTAAATTATATGATATTAGGCACATATATCCGATACAAAACGTAACATACGTTTTGTTTTTGCATAAGAGTAAATGCTTATCCGAAATACGTTGCCAAAATAGGCCATTTTATCACATCTCACCTTTCAAGATAATAAGATAGTTTTTTCATTGTAGCAGAAAGTTACGTTTAACACTTAACTGAAAAAAGCTGTTGAGAATTTTACAATCACTCTAATTTACCTATCGATGACATTTCCAACAAATTAAACGCGCACTCCGGTACACATTTTACCTTCATATTATATAGCCACATGAAAGCAACATTGTAACATTCAATATTGTAACAATAATTAAATAATCAGGTTTTTATAAAGTAAGTATAATTTATTTATAAATTGCTCCAATCCATGGTGACAATGTAAGACAGTAGGTTTCGATACTTCCAACATGTCTACATTAACATCAATATTTTATCATATAAATCTACATATATGTAAACATAACATGTAACTTATTTGCATGGTGTATTTTTTCTATAAATATTGCAAAGAAAGTGATGTTCTTTCAGTACTAAATTCAGAACAACTTTGATTGGAAATATCCCTAATGCGGATTATGGCACTACTGGTTGTATGTATCATACAACCAATTCCTGGGCAGCCTGATGATAATTAACAATGACAAAATTAGTTAATTTAAAATACCAAAAATCTGGAAATTATTGAATTACAAAACATTTTTATTATTACTATTCAAAGGGGGTGACTGATCAACTTATCAAACTCATTCACGCCGCGACGTCTAAAGTTCCTTCGTTGTACCGAATCGATGTATGCTTTATTACTTATTAGTAATTACCTACATATGAATCAAACAATAACTTTTCCAATGATCTGAATGGTTTGTACATAGATTGTAAGAGGAAATGGCTTGCCTACAACTAGTACCTACTAGATGTTAGAATGTGATTTATTTGTTATGTTTCTATTACGTAATGTACATATTTTCGCTTTAATATAAAAATATTTTTTAGCATTATTCTTATTAATATAATCTTGCTGTGGTTAATTCCACGGCTTGTAAACTATTCTGTGTTACGTGAACTTTACGAGTGTTACATATTATTATAATCTTAGTTCTGTTTTAAGGGATACT